ATTGGAGAAGAAGGGCCGCGACTCTGTGCCGTGGGTGAACTTGGACTGGCGAGGGAATTGAACAAAAGCGTGGTCCTGAGGAGGGGATAGGACCATCGCCGGGCCATCAGAGAGACCGTTCAGCAGCATTGGGCACATGGTGATCGAATGCGATAGTGTGATCGAATGCAGCGACTACGGGATTGAAACGAAAGGGAGCCTGTTCTGTTTGTCCAGTGAGCTAGAAATGAAGAACGAGAGCAACCTGTTGGATCTTGCGATCCAAGCTGTGTATAAGCTATGGTGTGGCACCAAAGGAGAGGACGAGAGGTGATGCGCGAAAGGGTGAAGGGAGGCAGGCAGGGAGGAGGTGACAATGGAAGGGTACGAGATGGGAGAGATGGAATATAAGGATGAAGGGTATCAAGAGGTAAAGAAGATGAGCAGATGAGATGGGATGGATTGACTGAAGACACAGTGAGGACGACGTGTCGGAGAGGAAGGAAGGGAAGAAGGAAGAGAGAGAGAGATGGAAGAAGGATAAACGGAGGAAGGAGATGCGCAGCCGGAACGAAGAAGCGAACCACGGGATCACCGGCTAAGATGTGGAGGAGAAGAAGCGGAGGGAGAGAGAGAAAAGTGTGGGAGGAAAAGCGAGGAACCAAACGAGACACGCGAGAGAAGCAGAAAAGGAAGGAGAAGAAGAAGCAGCAGCAGAAGCTGACGGATGCGGACGAGTGAGCGAGAAGTCAGTGTGATCGGAGCTTCTTTGGATGCGCCTTGCGATCCATTCATCATTGCGGAGAGCAGGATTTGCCATTGGCCAGACCCGTGTATTTACCGCGCCATACGCTTGTGACGCCCGCCATTCCCGCGGAATTACTGAGGGAATGGCAGGGATTGTGCGCCCCTTGGCGTGACTGCATACCATACCGTACAGTAACAGGTGACGGGATCCACCAGACTCAGATCAACCCGCAAGGATGCGCTCATTATTGGTCGAGGGGGAATCGTCCCGGGCAACGATGGGGTGAGATCCACCGGCAGATAATCCTTCTCATTGGCTGATTGGGCACGCCTTGTCCGCGCGGCCGCCCTCACTGGATGCAAGGCTATTGGCCGAACCACTCAGCTCAAGCCCGAGACTTTCGATGCGCCGTGATTGGCTCAACCCTAAGGCCCGCACTGACTGCTGACTGACCAGGGGGTTGCCAGCCAAGAAACTTTAGCCAGAACTTGGCCCGGCTAGCCCCTACGACGACTTCGGTGTCTTGAGCCATTCAGTCCAAAGCTAACACGTGAAACTTGACGAAATTCTATTCAGTGGATGAGAAGATTCCCTTCATAAAGTAGTCAAAAAGAAAAATCCTATAGTAACAGGAGAATGGGATGACGAGCAAACAAGGTCGCGCGAAAGTGATATCCGACACCTGAACTTCCTGCTAGTTTCACACGTCACAAATGGTCATCGAGCCAAATCGAGAGCAATACACCGACAAAAAAATCCTTCTAATAAAAAGTGGTAAAAAGGAAGAGAAAGTAAAAAGGGTTGCGAAACGAATAATTGTGAAAGCCCCGTCGGATTCGAAATCCATGTCGGATCAACCGTGTCTTCTGGGCCCGGCTGCATTCCCCGCATGTGGCCGGCCCAGATGCACCCCCGCATCCCAATTCGTGAAGAACTACCCCGGCAGATGAAATATTATCTTTTATAACAGTAGAGGGCCATACATATCCAAGTATGGCGGAAGAAGAGCGAACGTGACGCGCGGGTAGAACTTTTGCCCCCTCCGGGACCTTCTACAGTCCCGTCCCCCTCAACACAAGCCAACAACTACCACTCCCTGGCTCATCTCACATAACGCCTGAGTATTAACACAGGCGCATGGCTGGCTCCACCTGAACTTCTAGTCAGACCTTTAGGCATTTCCAGCAGTAGCGCCACCGAGCATGACCTTGACGCTGGCAACTTGTTCGGGGGCGTAGCTGGGGGCCATGGAGCCCATGAGCAGGAAGAAGATGAGGAGGATAGCGCCGAAAACGATGAACTTGCGCTGAGCCGGGTGGTTAACTCCATACTCAGCCCAGGCACGGTTGGCCTGGCCGGTGTACTCCTTGATCTTGTCACCGCCAAGCTTGTAGTACACGAGACCGACCAGAGCAATCGAGTAACCGAAGAACTGGGTCAAGGTGACGGGGGTCTGCCAGATCATCATGGAAGCAGCGACCAAAAGGATATCCTTAAGGACACCGCACAGGGTCATAACGAGGGAGGAGGTCTTGCCAATCTGTGTTGGTGCGTTAGTAAATTGATCCCTATGTAGCAACGTCAAGAACAAGAGCTTCTTACCAGGAAGACAACGGAAACGTTGAGGAGGAAAGCAACAACGGCATTGGCCAGCAATGTCCAGACACCAACGTTGTAGATGTGGCCCATGGTGAGGTTGGGGACCTCGAGGAAGAGAGCAGTGACACCGTTCATGACAGCACAGACAGGAGCGAAGTAGTAGAGGGAGACAAGAGGGTCCATCTTGTACTCGGCGGAGCTGAGCAGGCGCTGAACCATGACCAGACGAGTGGCCTCAAAGACAATACCACCGAGCTGGAAGAGGAATCCGATGAAGACAAAGCGAATCTCACCGAAAGAGGCAATGATGACACCAACCACGATAATGCTGACGTTCATCAGGACCTTCAGGTTGACAGGAGCCATGCCCATACCCCAAGTAGCGAAGAGAACAGCAACAGGGGTGGTAGCCTTAGTGGGAGTCAGCAAGGGAAACTCACGCTCGAAAGGGAAAGACTGACCTTGAGCATCTGGATGAAAGCAACACTCAGATACAGATAAGTAACATTACCGCAGATCAAACTCAGACTGAAGAAAAGACCGATCGGAACAATAGCACGAAGGTAGACACGGCCAGTCATCTTCACGGTTTTCCGTCCATCGAGCAAAGTGGTGGTGCGCGCCAGAAGCTGGGTCATGAAGGTCGCAAATGCCAAATGCCATGTTGTGAGAATGATAGCTAAATGCCATTAGTTTTGACTGTTGGACAAAATCGAGATAGGGTATGAGGAACGTACGGAAACCTAGCAACAGAGAGCACAATTAGCGATATGGTCACCTTGATTTGTAGCCACCACGTGGAGAACTTACGGAACTGAGCATAATCAAGGATATGCTTGTTGAACAAGATAACACTGGAACTCAGAGTGATCCAGACACTGAACTTGGTATTAGTACTCTGTTCAATTCCATTGCCTCACTCGTTTGAGTAGCTTACCCGACATAGACAGCAGGGTGGAAGGCAGGCTTCGGAGGCTCTGCCTTATCGACAGCGGGATTGACGGTGGGCAGGGTAGGCTCCGGACGAGAGACCTCTCCAGAGGTTCTGGCTTTTTCGCCTTCGGACATTGTGAAAGTGCGAGTCTGATCGGATAAGAAACGTTGAAATTCAAAAGGTCGCGGCCGTAAAAGGCTGCTTTGTCCGAACTTGGCGGAGGCCACGGGTAAAGGTTGTCAAGGGACGTAAAGAGAAAAAGGAATGGTGGCAGAGAAAGGTGGATAAAGGGTCGAGAAGCCTAAAAAGTCTGGAAACGAGTGAGACGAGAGTTGGACAAGAAAAGGATAGTAAGAGAGTGAATGAGAATAGAACGGTGAGAAGACGAAAAGGTCGGGGTTGGAGGAGAGAAGAGGGAAGAGGAAGAGGATGAAGGGGGCTGTTTGGTTGATGGGGGGAGGGTCCGTTGAGGTAATTTTCACTCTCGGGTAAGTAAACAGGGTACCAGGAAGAAGAGGTACTTACGGCTTGATTTCCTGTGGGATGGGCAGCGGGAGTGAAGACGGCTCGGGAAGCGCAAGTAAAATTATTTAGGGGGGACCGGAGAGAAGAGTCAGAGAAGAGAAGGAACGGAGATGTGTAAGTGCGAGAGGAAGACAGAGAGAGTGAGAGAGTGAGAGAGAGGGCTGGGTCCGCATCAACACCGAGAACACGATATGTCGTTCGTTGGTCGTCTTGCTCACGAGTTACAACTAGTAGTACTACGCTGACCGTCAACTTACATACTGGACTAGGAGTTAGTTTCCTTCTGGACCCGGACCTGAATCCCCAAAGTTTAGCGGCTGGCATGCATTCTACTTACAGTAGTTGCACTACTGGTGGGGGGTGGGAGGAATGAACCGGAACCAGAGTCAGTGTGATGATGCTAGCAGTTCTACTAAGTTAATTGAAGCAAACTGTAGTCTACTCCATAGATAAGCCCAATTTTACCTTGCCGATTACTGCTGTTGGGTGTCTCTCTGCAACTGCCTTGCCTGGTCTCAAATTGAGTATAATAGACATTCGATAGTATTATTGTTACTCTGAACTGGTTTTGGTCTGGATATTGAATTCCTGCGCTATCGGCACCCAAAATTGCCTGAGAATTATAATTAGATACCATTCGTATGCTACCCCATGGACACCGAAGCAAGTGAAACACCATCAGTGGTTCTGACGGGCGGTTTCGAGTTCTAGGCTGGGAAGACAAGCCCATCTCGGTGGAGGCCAAAAGTGGAGCGACGAGGGGCGAAAAATTAGCGGGCTGGAGACCCGGCTCATACACTGTATTGCAGAAAAGTGTCCTCGCAATGGCCACAATCTCAATTCTATACCGTATTGGTATTATTGATACACTGAGCATTTCCCCCGGCTGCCGCTGCTTGCAGAGCAAGTCTGTTAGTATGGAAACGGTATGAACAAACTGTAACAAAACATTTGCCAGTTCCAGACCTCTTTCGGTTCGTCCAAAGGAAGTCCATCTGCAAACGTCGTCAACTAACTATCGACTTCTGTTCTATACTTCCTGTCCGTTCTCATCATCATTGACTTGCAAGTCTCCTGCATCATCATCTTATGCTCGATGCTGCCGGTGTTTGCCCGTCCCTCACCGCGATTCTCAATGCGTATTCAATATATTGCTGTCTAATTGCAATCTGCGAGTGGATGGACGACCTTGAAACCATCTCTCGGTACGGCGTGGGGCGAGGCAAATGTTCATCACTCTCGTGGCGAGTTCTACTGTCCTGGCGAGCGCTGGTGGTTGGTGTCAATCTCCAGGTCTCCACCATCGGGGGGCCCAGTAGTCGCTGGTTGTTGCCCCTTTTCCCGTTCGCTCTGACTAGAGATAGGCTGTTCTGGTTATTACCATTATGGAGCACCCCCCCCCTCTCCCCCAGCGACTTTCCTTGGTAGGCAACGCCATCTACTCTCGTTTTTGCTCTTCGCCTATTTTTTATTCTTTCTCATCGTTCCCCTGTTTACTTTTTCTGGCTCGACAAATAGGCAACTGCTATCTGCTTGGTAGAGAAACTCATCTAGACTCTGCTGAATCGGCTCCCGATTGTGTCCGATTAGAAAGTAGAAGGGGAGGGACAAAAGAAATGTTAATTGAGGGGACGGACACATCAACACCGACTTGCGACAATCACTGTTGATCAAAATTAACGCCGGCTTGTTTGGTGCAGGATGCATTACGCAAGCAGCCCGCTAAGCCAAGCACTGTCTTACCCGCGTTCAGCGGCCACTTGCTCATAGCGCCGCCGCAAAGGTCCCTTGCGGGTGGAGAATGCGGCGATCTGATGGCTGAGGGGCCTGACGCCATCGCCATGGTTCAATGGCGTTTAGAGCAAATGGTACGACGGAGCCGTCCTTAGGTTGCCCGTTCCCTCAGGGACTCTTCCCAGACCCACGAGGGTCCGGATAGTTCTGTTGTATGGAGTTCCGTGCCGGCCTGTACCATCCTTCGGGTCCTGGTCGACAATATGGATTGTTGGCTTGGGCCTTCTTTTCTCGGTCTGGCCATGGTTCTGGTTCAATCAATAGCAGACAGATGTCGAGGCAAAGTTCTTACCAGGATTCACCGATTGCGCGTCCGTCAGAAATAAGGGCAGTGACAGGAGGGCCAAATTACGAAAGCACCAGGGGGCGAAAATTGAAGCTTTTGTTAGTGTATTTGGTCCCTTAGTCCCTGAGTGGGTGACAACTCCATCTGCTTGCATCTCAGATCCCAGACAGGTTAAGCTGATAACCGTTGTGTGCGCTTCTGGAAAAAGATCCTCTCTGTCTTTCCATTTCAAGAAGGACAACCAGTGGAGCCGTTCGACTGTTGCCCGGCTCATGTGTTCCCTGCTCAGCCCGGGACCTACTTATCTACCCTGAACTTGACAGACCGTCAAATAGGGGACGATCCATGTTGCCGATGCTCGCCATCGACATCCTCCTGGACCAGTTAGGTCACGTCTACGCCGCTGCGGAGTACTAGATACGCAGTAGGTAGTACCTTGCGCAGGTCTCAAGCGACTGCCACTGGTTGTAGGGAGTGTCTAGTTGGCCACACTTAGTAGGGGTGGGCGTACACAATGGTAACACAGCTCATATCTCATATGACTGGCTTGCAATCTTTGATGAAGGTGATCGGGCTATCCGTTGCTCGGGATTGCTATACCTATTAGCCACGGTCTTCCGTAGTGTATGTCCTCCCATGAGCTCGGACCTAGCCCCCTCTTCTGACTGAGAGGTTTCGTATATATCCTAGGATGCAAAAATGAGATACCAGACGACAGCAGCGATCTATTGAACGGTTTTCATGATGCTCTCGTGGAATACACAAGATCCATCGCCGAATTGCATTGCCGTTCTTGGTAATCGGCAACCGTAGCTCCGCCAGCGGATGGAGCTCAACGGAGAAAGCAGATGCTAGGACTCCATAGGCCCGTAGAAGCTAGAGACCCTTAACCAAGTATGAGCAATGCGCATGCATTCCACTGTAGCCCCTGGCAGGCCGGTGCCTGCCGAGAAAACCCCATGGATCCCGTATCACAGTGCTTGCAGGTGGATGAGCTTTGACGCCGGACTGGGGGAGGTGATGCTGCATTCAGATATAACGATAAGCAGTGCGACACAAAGGGCCAATCATACGATCGGAGTTACGGGAGATTAATTATTGCGGAAGTAGGCTACTATTCTTGAACATTTTGATGCATTCATGGGCCTGGAAATGGCCATTTGCCTGCTGGGCTACGGGACGATTGCCTTAGCTATGATCCAACGAAAAAGCAGCAAACGCGCAGATGGCGCAAGGTGTATCAGTGGTTGGCAACACAGAATATTTTTATTTATTATATTTTTATCTTTGTGTACTTATATTTTTTATTATTTTCGTAAAATTACCAAGAACGATCGATGGTGATTGCATGAATCGATCAGCCCCGACCCATGCGTCCTCCAGGCGTTTAAGATGAGGGATGATTTGGATTGATTGGGGTTGGAAATTAGCTTTGTCCCCTTTGCCCCTTTTCCAAGGCTCCGCGACTGGGGCTTCGGCGACACGTATTGCTATTAATTATTAGTCGACTTTTTTTGGGGAAATCCGATAATCCGATTGCTTGATCTATTAGGGCCTAAACTTGAAACCGATTCCAAGCGCCCCCCACCGCTTGCTTGTCACGTTTCGCTTTCCCGACCGACCGCAGGACGGATACACCTATACCTTCCCGCCCATCTCCCTCCCCTTCTTGCTCGTCCTCTCCCTCATCACCAACCTCCCTTCCTCCTCTCTCTCTCTCCCCTCATCTCTCTCGCCTTATAACTCTGCTGTCCCTGCAGCTTCACAAGGCTCGTTTTCTATGCTCAGCCTCGCCCGCAGGACTTTGAACCGTGTCCCCAGCTTTCAGGATATTCTACAAGGCAGGATGACCCACCCCGATATGTAAGGAGACCTTTCCCCCCTCCCACCAAGGGCGAGCTTGCCTTCACTACAACAAAGAGCTCATGGGAACCTTTACTGACCGTTGTCTTTGTGCTTGAATTCAGCTCCGTCGACGTTCTCGTCATTGGTGCCGGTCCTACTGGTCTCGGTGCCGCGAAGCGTCTTAACCAGATTGTACGAATTGCGCGCCCCCTATCGTATACCATCACTTGAATAAAGGCTAATTGGACAATTCTCTGGTGTAGGATGGCCCCTCTTGGTTGATCGTTGACAGCAACGAGACTCCTGGTGGTCTTGCTTCCACCGATGTGACCCCCGAAGGTTTCGTATGTTGAGTCCTACTTTCCCCTCAATGGATAGACATTGCACTTGTCAAGCGAACAGCGACTGACTCGTGACAATCGCAGCTCTTCGATGTTGGTGGTCACGTCATCTTCTCCCACTACAAGTACTTCGACGACTGCATTAACGAGGCTCTCCCCAAGGATGACGACTGGTACACCCACCAGCGTATCTCCTACGTTCGCTGCCAGGGCCAATGGGTTCCCTACCCCTTCCAGAACAACATTTCCATGCTTCCCAAGCATGAGCAGGTCCGCTGTATCGATGGCCTGATCGATGCTGCCCTCGAGGCTCGTGTTGCCAACACCAAGCCCCAGAACTTCGATGAGTGGATTGTTCGCCAGATGGGTGTCGGTATCGCCGACCTTTTCATGAGACCCTACAACTTCAAGGTTTGGGCTGTGCCTACGACCAAGGTAAGATGTTCTGGATCACATGGCAAGTAACGGCGTGCTAATTCCCTTTAGATGCAATGTGCCTGGTTGGGTGAGCGTGTTGCTGCCCCTAATGTCAAGGCCGTGACGACCAACGTTATCCTTAACAAGACCGCTGGTAACTGGGGTCCTAACGCTACTTTCCGTTTCCCCGCCCGTGGTGGTACCGGTGGTATCTGGATTGCCGTCGCCGACACTCTCCCCAAGGAGAAGACTCGCTACGGTGAGAAGGGCAAGGTCGTTAAGGTCAATGCCAACAACAAGACCGTTACCCTGGGTGACGGTACCACTGTCGGCTACAAGAAGCTCGTCTCCACCATGGCTGTGGACTACCTCGCTGAGCAGATTGGCGACCAGGAGCTCGTTGGCCTCACCAAGCAGCTCTTCTACTCCTCCACTCACGTCATTGGTGTTGGTATCCGTGGTACCCGCCCCGAGAGAATCGGTGACAAGTGCTGGGTAAGTTATCTACCTTGGATGCAGACTTCAATGGGCCTCTAAACTAATACGATTTCCTCTAGCTCTACTTCCCCGAGGACAACTGCCCCTTCTACCGTGCCACCATCTTCTCCAACTACTCCCCCTACAACCAGCCCGAGGGCTCCAAGAAGCTCCCCACTCTGCAGCTTGCGGATGGCTCCAAGCCCCAGAGCACTGAGGCTCAGGAGGGTCCTTACTGGTCCATCATGTTGGAGGTTTCCGAGTCTTCGATGAAGCCTGTCAACTACGAGACTCTCCTGGCTGATTGCATCCAGGGTCTCGTCAACACCGAGATGCTGAAGCCCACTGATGAGATTGTCTCCACCTACCACCGCCGCTTCGACCACGGCTACCCCACCCCCTCCCTGGAGCGTGAGGGCGCTCTTACCCAGATCCTGCCCAGACTCCAGGAGAAGGACATCTGGACCCGTGGCCGCTTCGGTAGCTGGCGCTACGAGGTCGGTAACCAGGACCACTCTTTCATGCTCGGTGTTGAGGCTGTGGACAACATTGTCAACGGCGCTGTCGAGCTGACCCTCAACTACCCTGACTTCGTCAACGGTAGACAGAACACCGAGCGTCGGCTGGTTGACGGCGCCCAGGTTTTTGCTAAGAGCCAGGCGCAGTAAAGGGTTGAAATGTTAATAGATTTACACGGGTTTTAATTTCTTTTTTCTTGAATGATTCCAGGCAAGGGGCAAAAGATTTGTTTAGAGATCTGATTACGATCAACGGGAGCCATATTTCATCATTTTTTCTTCTTGTCCTATCTATTTAACTTATCTTACCAAGTTTTTTTTTCTTTTTTACTCTTGGCTCATTGACAGCGATGTATGGGAGATGTTCTTGGCATTGTGATGCGTATCATCATCCACTTTTCTAGCCGCCTTTTGCTCCATCCACTAGACATGAATAGAAGTTGCTTATCGAACGCGTGTTTTTCTTTGGGGACTTAATTTATTGCTTTACGTATGCTGGTTACATGTCTCACGGCGGATTTTGCTGATGACCACCCCGTGGAGATCGAATCCGGCTTCATGACAGATGACACATGTACCACCCACCGAAGTGAGGCAGTGTTTGTAGCACAACAGCCCATGCAGTCCGTTTCTATTTTCGCTCCATTTTATCCCGATCTAGAATAGAAAATGTGATATATACGCCCCAAGTGCGTACTATGGAATATCTCAAACCCACACAGAGCCATCTACTAGTATATACACCGATCAAGCTCCTCGATAAGTATATGGCAAAACTCAAGAAATAATACTACTGTAGTAGTCCAATCGGTAGACTATGAAAGACATATGTAGTGAAACATGGATTGATTCACCGTTAGCTATTAATCAATATGTGACTTACTATCTACCGTGTGATACTCCATATTTACTCACTACCCACATCCCCCATCCACATTCCCCATCTCATAAGGCTGAGTGAGCTCGAGCTCGAGCTCGGAAGGGCTGGCTGGATGAAGAGCACTGACTATGTCGGAAATTTATTACTTCACTTTAATTCATTTTTCTTCTCTTCTGCTTCTACTACCGTGTAACTGACTTACTCCATACTTGAGCATGTGGTTGATTGGTGCAGTCAGTGGTGATATTATTAGTAGTAAGTAGTACGAGTATCACAGCAGTGAATACTTATCATGCTGCACACAGACTTACATACATACACACACACATACATATACATATATCCCCCCTCCAACCCACAACCATCATGTGATTACTTACAGTACATCCTCCTACAACATATATATATGTAAGCATACACACACTAAATAGAGTAAACATGAACATAATGAAATAATGTCGAACACCAAGTAACTAACCTATGAACACTCTTCCTTACGAAAGTCAGGAAATCTGCTAATACACCCGGATCATCCATTACCCGCCACTTTGCTCTTTAACCGTGGCTCACGCCAAGAAGGGGAAACAAGCCCATACACCTAAAGCGGTATAGCGGACTGGGGCAGGCCGCGTAAGTAGTCTAACTGGAGAAAGGAAAAAGAAAAAGAACGAAATTGGAGTCGTGCAGAAAACCCGCAGGCGAGGAAAATTAATTTTTAAAAATAGATTGTGAGCAACGAAGTGGGTTAACTAGCCCAGATAGGACAGGTGGTCATAACTAAGTAGTAGGTGTGTAGACTAATTTACTCAGAATGGGCGATGACGATGGAATGGGTTGTGATGGCGATGATGGACAGTTGTTTCATAGATGATGAATAGTTAGTTAATTACTTTGTTACCTATACTAGTATTGAGGTAAAAAGCGGTGATGTGGTAAGTATGTCGGTGTTTGTTATTTGCAGTAGTAGCATTCAAGAGGGGATACATACATATACATAATTACATACGCAGCTTTGGATTCGATCCGCTTCAGCCTTATCGTCGGTCGATTTTGCATCTTCAATGGGCCCCTTATAGAAAAGAAAAACCGCTCTACCGGTCTACACCGTCACTCCTCCTCTACAATACACCATTATCACAGAATATCCTGCAGCTTGCGTGTCGACTGGGCTCAGCTGGTAGAAGACCTACGACCCATTGTTGGGATGGATGACGAATAACCTCACGAGATCCCACCCATCATTGGGTCGGGACACCAACTCCGCCCCCCATGCTTTACGTCCCATCCACGCAACAGGTTGAGGCAAAATGGCTGAGCCCTGCATGGCGTATGAGAATCTTGGACACACACACATACCCCTCCGACCATATGACACCTCACAGTGATGATATTCTAAGCAAGTCATTTTTAGCATTAGAGGCTCACATTTCCCCGGTACGGCTCAAATTCTCCGGTGCAGCAAGGAGGTCGACGTATCATAATTCGTTCAATCCATCCCCTCACATCAGTCCCTATGACTTCCTCTGTCTGTCTTTGGCGAGGCGTGATATCAGCTGTGCCCGGTGCTTTTTTCCCAGCTGTCTCCCCACCGCGGATGACATGCTTCTATCCACCCTGCTGTCACATCAACCGTTCCCTCTCCACCCAGCATGCCATCATCAACAACCACCCTGCAAATTTATTGCCGGGCATATCCTAGCATTGTCGAGCCATAATCCTTGATATCATTCTCATCTTTCTCGTGTACTTCATATGTCATGAAGTTGACGTAGCCATCGAGCTCCCTGGCCTCCATCAGGTGCGGGTTGATCGACGCTCGGGTCTGTCCAGGTGTTAACGGTGGCCAGCGCAACAGGGCTACGTGAGTGCATACGTACATCTATGCATGGTTCGGAGCGGTGACCATGTGGAGCTGCCATGCGTCCTCTACCACCGGGTACCGGTGGATTTGCCGATGGCATAGAAGCAACGAGCTTGACTCTATCGACGTTATAACCCCCCTGAGCATACATGGGTATTAGATTTCCAAGTAGCCCTGAGATGGCGGGCGCCTCCCGCACCATGTGTTCTTGCGGAGGATTGTGTTCAAGGCCATGGTTTTGGACTCCCTGTGGACTCCGGAAGGGCATCAGACCTCCAGATGTCTCTATGGTTCTTGAAAGATCGGCACCTACCTCTGCTGGAGCTGCTAGTGAGGTATTCACAGCCTGATAGGTTACTGTTCCTTCGTGACCTTGCTCGGGTAGTAATCCCACGGGTTCGGGTTCAGTCTGTGTACCATGCGAGACTATATTCCTAGGAGCCTTGCGCCCTGTCAGATGAGTTTATCTTATCCACTCTCAGGTATGCTGAGCCTACCCTTGGAATGGGGTTGGATCGATGTGCCTCGGTGGGCCTTGGCCTCGCACTGCTCTGCAATCTAGTGGGAAGTGCTGCTGGGGATCTTGCAATAGCTGCACCCGAGCCTTCACCAGGGCCATTGTGGTGGATAGCAGCAGACCCCGGCAACGAGAGGTTGGCCCGCTGGCCGCGTGTCTTCCTGGTCGATTTATTTTCACCGGGCATTTTGGTCACCTCCAACGTCGCATTTGTTCTGGAAGAGGGACGTGCAAGGAAGTCAACCCACACTGTTTCTTGCGCAGCTAGGCTGACACATGTGGATCCTAAACGTATCTCGAGATTAAGGCTCGGACGGAGTCCCGAACCTTGCACTTTGGATCTCGACCACGTCTGTCTCAGATTCTCTAAAAATAGCCAAATTAACACTTGCTAGCTGTGAGTCCGGAGGGTAATATCTGAAGCTCACCTACTTCACTTGAGGTGTTTACGAAAAGCAGCGAGCTATCCGCGAGTTGAGTGTTGCAGGAAAGAGTTTCTCCATTTACTTCCCTGGTGCTAAGGAGGAGCTGGTGAGAATTGGAGTGACGATGTGGCGCACTTAAGCCTTTCCCTCCATCTTCTGAGAAAAGACTAACGGGGATTCTGGTTGGCACAGTTGCTGTAGCAAAGGGCTGGCGGGTCTGTGAATGATTGTGCAGCCATTCAAGGCCCCGCTTTCCCAGTGATTGGTTGGAAGGCAAACTGCTGTCAATAGGAGTATTCCATGAGTGCTGATGCACACTCTCTGTCACACGTTGCTCTTGACATGCTCCAGAGGATGTTCCGGACAAGGGCCCACCGACGCCTGATGAGCAGGTGGCACTCATGGTCCGGACCTCATCTTGCACCACTACGCATGGCGGAGCATCTGGTTCATTGAACAAGGATGATAACCCGGAAGGGCTAGCTTCTTTGTCTTGGTTCGATTGCCACGAGCTTTGACTAGGAGAGTCCGGGCTCGAGCTGCAGAGAGACCCTCGCGGGGAGAGGTTGTAGGGCGAAAAAAAATCCGAGTCCAAGAAGGCCACACTATCGTCGCTATAGCCGTCGCGGTCGAGATCTTGCCGATGCCACTCGGCCATGCGAGAATGGCGAAGGAGCAGCCTTTCCAGATGGTAGCGGAGATCGTCATCGCCCAGAGCAATGCGTGTAGACTTGTATCGAATCATAGTAGGTGAGGTAGGATGTCTTCTGATGATAGCTGTGAAATGAATACGAAGAATAACCGTGGTTAGAGCAACAGTAACGACTATGTGCCTCTGTAAGCTCAATAGTCTTCCTGTTTCATGAAGCTTGTAGAAGCGTGCAGCTATTCAAGTTGGGGACTTGGAGGGATCATCTGGCTAGGCTACGGGGTTACAAAGGGCATCAATTAGGAAAGAGCATCCGGATGGCAAGTGCGATGAATAGATACTATCCAGCTAGGTGAAATGTTTTCTAATATAAACTCTCATGAATGAGTCGGATATCCAGAGTGATGAAGTTGACTAATAACAGTTGGTGGTGGTGGAGAGGACTACCACTAGTAATTATGTTTGTTCTATAATAGGCACGAAAATGGGGCATGCGAAAGAGACGGTGTAGTAGTAGTACGTAGTAGTTAAGGAGTATAGAAGATGGAGCAGGAGATGGTAGCGAACCACGGTACTCTCTCTCGGTCTCGAACGGTTTAGTGGATAGCAACATTAAAGAGGCTGAGCAGAGTCACGATCTTGAATGTGAAACAGAAGGATATAAATATTTTGACTAGATGATAGGAAAGATCAAAGTACTGATAGGCAGTTAGTTAGTTGGAGTGTGAGTAAGAGAAACAGAAGATGGAATATGGGGCTTTCAGGGCCTACAAGATCTACATCTCCAGGGCATCCGATTGAGCTGTGCAGAGAGGATGGATCCATCGGCCAGGCTGCATTCAATTGCCCATTGTTGCCCATTGGGATGATTTTAATTATTATTATCCGTAGCATGACACAGTCTTTATTGTGTCAAAAGAGAGAGAGGGGGAGAGAGACAAGGTCATGGCAGAGTTAAAAATAAAAACAGGATTAGAATAAGATGATGATTATTGTTGTTTAGTTTGTAGGCAGAAAGTCTCCTCTTGTACTCTCTTTTTTTCCCGTATGTAACTCTCTACTACCACTATTAGTACTGCTACTGCTACTACTACATCGATCCCCTTTATCCCCTTTCCCTCTCTCAATCGTATTATTCTTCTCCTCCTTCTCGACTCTCTCCTTTCCCTTTTTCCACCCCCTGCTATTTTCTATAGTTTCTGTTCAACTCTTTTTCATCTGTTTTTCGATCGTTCTATTTACATCCTGAGTGTCCCATAATCCATCGTGTTTGGGTCCGGCAAGTGTTTCAGCATTTGGCGTTTCCCCATCCCCAATGCATCATCCGCAGCTCCTCCGACCGCCGCCATAGTCCGTCCGGCTCTCCCCTCTCTAACTTAGTTAACTAACTTGTCTGTTATTCCATCCCATCCCCAATCCCATCCCATCGGGGAAGCTCCTTTTCCTTCCCAGCTTCCCTTCCTCTTCTTTTTCTTCCTTCCCCCGCTCGTTTCTCTTTTTTACACTCGTCGTTCGTTCTTCTTCCCTCCCTCCTTTCTCTTGTTCTCCTCCCCCTTCTCGACCTTCTGCTTGGTGCCACGCTGGTGCCTTGCCAGGTCACTATCCCGCCATCCTAATCTCCCTCGTCTAGTCTTTCTGCCTCCTTCTTGTTCTTCCCCGAATTATTGCTCTCCCTCATCTTCCGCCCGCACATCCCCCCCTCCTCCTCCTCCTCCCCCCTTTGAAACCCAACTCTTCCTCCCTCCCTCCTCCGCCCTCCTCCTTCTGCTCTCCCCTCCCCCCCAAAAAAAGGTTTGGTGTATCACCAAACCCATCGCTACCTCCATCATGGATGGGGATCTCAGCCTGTCCCAATCGTTAGGGGGGCTCCGCATCGCGAATCCCGATGATTCTTCCTTACATTCGTCCGAAGATGCCGCAACAACGCCCGCTGCCAGTGCTGCAGATGTAACAGAAGCAGAGCTGGTGCGCGAACCTACCATCATCTCCGAGCGACCGGCCAGTTCTCTATCAACAACTCCTCCCCGACCGTCTGCTCCTCCCTCCACAACAGACCTGCAAGACACCCTCACCTCCGCCTCAGTCGAGCCCGCAGTCAAGCCGCGAGACAATCGAAGCTCCCTCTACAATCCTTACTCTGACCTCCCGCAGCAGACGAGTCCCCAGTACACTCCTTACGCGTCTTCATCACAATCACACCCTGCTCCGCAGTCCTCCCGGCCGATGTCCGCCTTCTACGCGAACGGATCCACATCAACACTGGCAGCTGCTCGGGAGGGTTCCTATCGTATTCGTACCGATTCCGCGGCCTCCTCCGCCTCCGAAAGTCAAGCACGTGCGGAATCTCGCGGTGGTTCCGCTGCTTTCCAGGCCGGTGTTCCCGTACGCGATAGTAACCACAATGATCGGTCATATCGAACCGCCCAGTTGCCCCCAACCAACGGTCCGATGATCATGCGTCAAACTTCCAGAGCTCACGCGCGGGGGGGAGCGGCGCCACAGATGGGAGGCTCTCCGTATGCCATGGAGAATGGCCCCGGTGCGAGCAGCGAGGACTGGCAGGATCGTGGTGCAGCGGTCGCCGTGAGGCAGGAGATCGATGCCAACGGCAAGCCGGTTGCGCGTTACATTAAGAAGGGAGTCCGGGATTTTTCTTTCGCTCACACGCTGGGCGAGGGCTCTTACAGTACCGTGGTCCTGGGAACCGACCGACAGACTCTGAAGGAATATGCCATCAAGATCCTGGACAAGCGACACATCATCAAGGAGAAAAAGGTGAAATATGTGAACATCGAGAAGGACACCCTCAACCGGCTTACCGAACACCCGGGCATTGTCCGACTTTATTACACGTTTCAGGATGAGCGCTCGTTATATTTTGTGCTGGATCTCTGCAAAGGAGGCGAGTTGCTGGGCGTGTTGAAGCGCATGACCACCTTCGACGAGGAGTGTACACGGTTCTACGGTGCTCAGATTCTAGACACGATAGACTACATGCATAAACGCGGTGTGATCCACCGGGATCTCAAGCCGGAAAACGTTCTCCTCGACAGTCAGATGCACATCAAAATCACCGATTTCGGAACAGCCAAGATCCTCAAGAGTCAACGAAAACCTCAGAACTCCAGCGGGATGCCCCCGCTAGACGCCACAGATATCCCGGAGGAAGAACGAGCCAGCTCGTTCGTGGGCACGGCGGAATATGTAAGCCCGGAGCTTCTGACGGATAAGAATGCCTGCAAGGCCAGTGATCTCTGGGCCTTTGGCTGCATCATCTTCCAGCTTCTCGCGGGCCGCCCCCCCTTCAAAGCCGGCAACGAGTATCAGACGTTCCAGAAGATCGTTGCGCTCGATTACGACTTCCCTGCCGGCTTTCCTGCCGTCGCCCGCGATCTCGTCGAACGGCTCCTTGTTTTGGATCCAGCCCGTCGTTTGCCCATCGAGCATATTAAGAACCATGAGTTCTTCCAGGGAATCGCCTGGGGCCCGGATTTATGGAAGCGCAAGGCCCCTCGTCTGAAGGCGTATGTTCCGCCGCCGCGTGAACCCATCAAACTGAACGGCGGCGGTGGTGAGGGCTATGCCTCCAGCGCTAACCCGGCTGCATCAAGCACTAATGTCAGTTCGCGTGTGGTGCCCCGACTGGTAACCGAACTACCACCTCCCAGCCAACTGGACATCGAGTGGTCCCCAGTCTTGACTAAAACCAACGAGCGAATTTTAAAACTCGGTAATCTGGTGGTTCTATCATCGCCGGCAGCCCACAGTCCCGTCTCAAAACACGGAGGCGAGTACGAAGCTCCCCGGAAATTCTCCCGCTTCTTCGGCGGCAGTACGACGAAGAAGCGGCAGCGCTTGGTAATGGTTACTTCGTCGGGGCGCATCATCATGGCTGCATCTGGAGGGGACGAAAAGAAGGCGAAATTGGAGCTTTCCCTCCTGACCCCAGGCACGTCATATCGAACGTCGACAGATTCGAAGGGGTTCTCGTGCTGGGTGGTGGATACGGTATGTGATTTCCCTTTATAAGATTTAGCGTATTGCCCCTGACATCGAGACATCTAGCGCGACAAACATTTTGTCTTTGAGGATCCCAAGCCCTCTTCCAGCAACGTTGGGGCCACCGCCATATCGGCCCAGGAATGGCTCGATAGCCTGGACCGCGCGCGAGAAATGGCTCTGTCCCAGCAGGGAAACGGTTCTTACTCTGATGATGCCTTCCGCGATTTGTCGTCTGGACTGTCGAGCCACGCCAATACTCTGGATCGGAGCTCTGAGATCCAAAACGAGAGTGCCCCCGCGGGACGAGCCACACTGGTTAAGCACCAGAACACAGACACGGAGTCCGTCAAAGGCAAGAAGCGATTCAGTCGTCGCCACTCCAAGAATGGTCTGGCAGCGGTATTCTAAGTCTTTCGTGCTTGCCGCTGATTTTTCTCCTGCCAAACTCACCTCAATTCCTTGTCCTCCTTTCCCCCCGCTCCCCCGGACTCCCATCCTCCCCGAAGTCCGGCTTATAAACCATTGCGCAGGGTCGCATACAAAGTCTCTTCATTGTACCTGGAACATATCTCGTCTCCGTCTTTTGCTTGATATCCCTGAGAGTTTCCTGCGTGTGTGATTGGCGATTCTTTTCTACCATCCCTGCCAATGGCAGGGCTTGCTTTGGACTATTATACTTAAAGCTATTTTCTTATCACCGGGATTCAGTCATGAACTTCAGCCGGCGACTTGCTTATTTCCTTTGTACGTTTGCATCTATTGTAAGAACTTTTTCCTTTGTGACGTGGCTTGCTTGTTGCTTTGGCCTTGCATCTTCGCAATGATGAGCGTGTTTCTATTCCCTGTTGAAATTGCTGCATTTAGATGGGCAGGAGTATGCATATATCCCTCATCTGGTTGTCTTCATTTATTTTGTCCTCTTTTTTTTATTTCCCATTTGCCCCCTTCTTCGACCTCTCCTCAATCTACTCTTTCTTATTCTCTCTTCCGATATATATATTCCGCGCATTTGCGATAAACCGACCTCGCAGTTGAACCTACACCCACTCTACTATATTTGCCGCGATGTCTGGGATACAGCGCGCTACAGTACATTCTTATCATCTTCCAATCATCATCAAAAAGCGCGGGGGCTTACCTCTTCAATTCCTTTACCATCATCACCTTGCAGTTTTACTACCATTAGGGATCTCGTGTCTATGTGCCTGTCATTTCTATACTGAGCGTTTTCGGAGTTCCTCTGATCGATTACCCCCCCCATTTTTTTGTATGTTTTTGTTTGCGTGAATAGTGTTGTTCTCTTTCTCTTCTCCCTACTCTCTACTTGTCTAACAACCCTCTCCTTTATTCTATAACTTTATTATTATACCTCCCTTCTCATTACTTGTTTCCCTCTCTTCAATGCACAATCTACAGACAGTCCCGTGGTCTTGTTACATAGGGTTCACTTTTCAGAAAAATCATTTAATTTCATATTAGGAGTAGCTCAAGGACAACGACGACAAGAAAGAAATCACTATTACGGCTTGTAGGCTACCTTTATTGTCTTACACTTCTTTTTAGGCACGAAAGTAATGCGAAGAATATAAAACAAACATAGATCCTCATAGTACTACTTATTGATACGAAAAGATAACGTTTTACAATAAACTAGTTATATATACTAATATACATAAAGTGAAGGTGCACTGTATATTATTAAAATTATATCCATCTATATACAACAAGTGGAAATATGGATATCTTCCCCGAAGGGCAATAATGAAAGATTATCTTATATCCCTCCTCACATGAAAGGGTAAGAAAAAAAATAAAATAAAGAAGTGTTAAAAAAAGGTAACTTCTTATATAAACAACCAGTCGATCCTAGAATTATCCAATTCCTGAATCCAATCAAAGTCATCGTCATCATCATTATTATCGTCATGGGAATGAATATCAGTGGTAGGCCGTTGCTGCTGCTGCTGCTTCTCAGCCTTCTTCTGATCCTGTTTCTGCCACATCAAGCTCAAAACCCAAGCTGCATTGCGGACATTCACACTGGTGATGTTAAAATACAACGCGCGCAACTTGTTGAGTACAAAGGGTCGCTGGACGGGGTCTCTGCATTCCGCGCCAGCAATGAAGGTGGGCCAGATGAGGCATTTGAAGTGGGGATCTTCGATAGGGATGAGAGCGATTTTGCGAATGATCAGGTCGGCCACTTCGGCGTGGTCGGAGGGGAGACCGAAGTGGTTGGGGATGGTTGCGGCGCCGGGACGCGGTCGGGAGAGAACACGGCTGGCGTAGAGGTAGACAGCGCCTTTGAAGACGGTTGCCAGGGCGGTTCGCATGGACAGGTCTGCGAGGTAGTAGCAGCTTTGCATGGACTCGGCCCAGGCATAGGGGTCGAAGGCTTGGATGTGTTGGAGGAGAGCGCCGGGGGATTGGAGCGGGTTAGAGTCTTGGGAGAGGAAGGCAGAGGTGAAGATCATGGAGGGTTGCGAGTTGGGGTCGACGTCCGGGTCGAAGTAGAGACCGGCGTGGATGAGCAGGATGACTTCGAGGAGATAGGCTGGACAGCCGACGTAGGAGGTTTCTTCGAGACGCTTGAGCATGGCGGGGCCCATGCTGGAGGTGTAGAAAGGTTTGGATAGGGACCCTGGGCGAGCGAGGGTGGAGCCCATGAGTTGGATGCTGGGAGGGATGTGTCAGTATGTAGTGTCTCTGTGGAGGATGTTTATATGGCTTACAGGAGAATGCCATCGACAGCAAAATCTTCCAGCCATTTGACAAGGCATTGAGGCGGACTGGAGGCCCCCTGTTCTTGGCGGCCTTTAAGCAGCTTCTTGGCCCCTTCGAGGTGGAACTTCCAGGCACCATCCCCCGATTCAATAGCATCCATCAAAGCGAGCACGGTGATCGCAGCGAGGGTTCTGTTATCATTGCGCAAGACGGGATCCTGAATGTCGCTCGATAATTGCCCTAGGGCGCGCTGCTTGAGTCCGAGAAAATGTTCATACACCTTGGACGACGGACGCCGAGACATGGAGGTGATCACGGACTTTTCTACCTCTTCAGGAGACAGGGATGTGCGGTCTGCGGGAGAACCTTCCGACAACCATGGCGTCAGGGAAAAGTCCCCGCTCGCCAGGATGGCATAATGCAAGGCACCGGTGGCAGCAAGGACGTGGGCGAGGAGAGGAGAGTCCCCGACCAGGGGAATGAGGTCACGGTACGGGTTGCCGGTCTCGGAGTAGAGGGTGAGATAGTTGGCAAGGTTCTGGTTGACTTCGGGATGGTTAGACAGGAATCATATGGGCAGAGAAAACGAGCAAACATACAATGCACAATGTAGAACCGCGACAGCTGACTCAGGTCCTTGAACAGCGGGTCCACCATGCCCCAAGGCGCGGAGACCGGTGTAGCTCTTTGCAAGACCACTTGAGTATCCTGGTTATCGTTATCCTCCGACTGGGTTGGTTCTAGGATACCCTGGATGCCCGACACGTTGGGGGGTACGCATAAGCTGATATCTATAGACTGGGTGGGCGAATCGGCTGCTGACGGCGGCGACGCATTGCTGCTGGAAGAGGGGCTCGAGTCACCGCGCCTGAGATCTGAAGGGCGCATAACCTCATTAAAGCTGCGACCCATCATCTTTCCACGACTGGCCACACCTCCCTTGACCCAAACGAGGGGCTTCTGATACCCCAGACATTCCTTCCCCGCATCGCGGCACTTGCGGCATGTGGGCAAGCCGTTGTCGCAAATGATGCGGCGGCGACGACAGGTGTAGCAACCCTTCGACATCACTTCGGACCGTGGGCGAGCAGACAAACTGGTCACTGCTCTGGTGGATGGGAGAATCGCAATCCGATGCAGGCGGCTCGAGACGAGTGTCTACACAGGACACTCGCCATCATTGGGACTCGTCACGACACGGAATGGGGGGGTGGGAGGGAAAGCTTCACCCAGCACATTGAGAGCACTCCGACCGGGGGTGCTGTATGCTGCTAGCAGGACGAAGAGCACGGCAGGCCGATCCAAGCTGAAGAAAGAGAATAAGAAGAAGAAGAAGTATGTCAGAGGGCAGAGGGAGAGGGGGGAAGAGGAGGGCTGAATGAAGAAGATCTGGAACCGCGCCGCAAAGGAATCCAAGTGCCGCCAAAAGAGAAATCAAGCATCCCCATTGGAGGAGTGCTGCTGACTCATACTATACACTCCCGCTAGCCGGAAGGGGGCTAGTGTCGTACGAGGGCATGACAGAACAGGGTGGATGCCTTGGATGCCTTGAATGCCTTGAATACCGGGCAGCCAGCGGGAGGAGAATTGAATATCGGTTACGAAGAGGGAAAGTAAGAAGAGGGTTGAAGTTCATCTCTCCTGTGGTATCTTTGTGGGACTCTGGGAGATGAAGAGGACGAAGAAGGAAAGAAACAGTCGGGGATCATCCGACAAAAGGCAGCTGAACCCAGACGGATCCGACTATCAAATTAAGCCAATCACGAGGATCAACGCAGCTGCGAGGCCGCCGATGGAACGAATCCCGATTGACTTCTTGACGTCCTTCGTCTCTCCTTTTCGGTCGGTCGCAGAATTCCAGGAGTCAAAGGGAATTTGGAGTCAAGCGGTCTCAACTTCGATCCGAAGAAGTTTTGGATCACGCCCAAGGGAAGGGGTTTTGGCTTTGGTGGATCTTTCGTTCTTCTTTGACAAGCATCGGCAGATAGTAAATATCCACCGCTGTCATCCAGTCTTTCGCTGCACACAGACCATCCTTTTTCCCACGGAAGTCGAACTGGAAGCCATGGTTTTGGACCCTGTGTTTATTTATCGGCTGTAACTGGTCTTGTCGGCTTCAGTCTGCATCTCCTCGCCTTGGCTGCATTCTGATCGCATTCGGTCCAGCGTCTCCTATTCTTCGGATCATTCTCTTAGCCTGATCCTTTTTGTCTTCTCCCGTCCTTGGAAAGTTCAACTTACAGTGTCTTTTCCTCCTCATCTTCTGCTAGTTCTCTAGTTCCTCTCGGTGGCCCACTTTGTTATCGCCCGCGGGGATCAACAACCGGGAATCCGCCGCCACTCCCAAATCCTCTGCGCAAATCTGCCTCTGCCCTGGTGTCGCGGGTCCCAAACATTCCTCGCTGGCCGTGTTGACGAATTCCCGACCGGGGCGCGTGTTGTAGGATTTGAGTGACGGCCCGCTCTCTGCAGCAGCTCTCTTTGGCGCTCTGGTCACCGCGCATCTCTCCCTGACGGACCATGTCCACCAAGTTTCCCACTACTACCGTCACTCCCATCGAAATGGTGTCTCAAGCTCAGGTCCTCGATCGCTCCGTCCCGCCGCAAAGCGCTGCCTCCTCCGTGTCGCGCCATTCTCATTCCAGCCGGCGACACCGTTCCAGTCGTTCTCATCATGGAGGACTCACCCATCAAATGCAAAACGACTTTCCTATTTTCACGCACACCGGCGATGTCGAGATTGTGGTGCGCGCAGGGGATCAGGAGCGACGATACCTCCTGCATCGATTGATATTGGCGCAATGCTCGGGCTTCTTCGAGGCAAGTACCCGGGAGGACTGGTCGCGACAATCCATTCCGAGGCCTCCAAACCTGGACACGGGCGTGCTGTCGAGGATTAGTGAAGATGCCTCTTCGCTATCAAACGGATCAACCTTGGCCCAATCGGAAAGTGGAGGATCCGCTTGGTCGGTCGAAAAGAGGCGCTGGAGGTATGAGCTGGACTGGGTAAACAAGGAGGAGGATGAGGAGCCAATTCTGGTACAGAAGGTGAGCTGATCTGAAGCCTCGTGAATCTGCCATTAGCAATGCTCATCGTTGAATCTCTATAGCCTCCAAGCTTTTCCAGCGCATTTGGTTGCGACGCGGGACAATATCCTCCATCTGTGACCAAACCATCCAGCTCTCAAACAGGCTTTGTCCGGTCGATGGCCAACCTGGCCGGGATGCAGTCGGTGGTCAACCTCCCTCATCGATCTGGGACGGCAAATCCCCCCACAAACCCCATCGTTCGCGATTACGACAATCTGTTCCGCCTGTTCTACAATTACCCGCCGCTGCTCAACAGCGTCAACATCGCAACCGCCTACGCCGAGTGCCGGGCCCTGCTCAACCTGGCCGACATGTACGATGCGCTACCTGTGACTGGACCCCGCGTCGACCACCATCTGCTGGGCTTTGGCTCGCGCCTCTTCAAGCAGATCGCCAAGTATCCCCCGAGCTACCTGAAACTGGGCTACCTGGCGCGCAGCCGCGTCATCTTCTCCGAGGCCCTCATCCACGTCGTGGGACAATGGCCGGCCGGCCTGCCTCATCTGCGCAACGGACCATATTCGCCGCTCCCCAATTCCGTCCTCGACATCATCGAGGATAAGGTTGAGGACCTGGAAGACTTGAAAGCGCGCATCGACTCCAAGCTCCTGCGGCTCACGCTGACCACCTCCCGCGGCGAGCGCGTCAGTCCCACCAACGCCTACCTGGACTGGCTGGCCGTCTCGCTCTTTCGACAATGGCTCGTCGACAGCACCACTCCCCCGCCGACTCCCATCCTCAAGAACTCTTCAGCGAATGCACACGCCAGCACCAGCACCCACGGCATTCGCAGTTCACAATCGACCAGCCACCGCCCAACAGAATCGACTTCCAAGCCCACAACCACCGCACCACCCTGGTCCGCTGCACGAGTCTACCGGCTCATCGGCTCCCCCAGCAGCCAAGCCTACCTATCACACGAGGACCTGAAACGATTCCTCAAAGTGCACCCAACTCCTTCCTCGGAATCACTGTACACGCGCGAAGTCCTGAAACGGTTCGAGCGCAAAATGGACGAGATCAAGCGGCTGGCCCGCGAGATAGTCAAGCCGCTCATGCGCAATTTTCTCGAATTGGATCTGAAGGGAAGCGAATACAGCGAGGGTGGGTTGCCGTATTTAACATGCACTAAAGTCGACGACGAAGATATCCCGTGGGAGTGATCAGCCTATTCACACAACACATATCCCTTATTACGCAATTACGCCCATAACGATACCCTGGAAGTTTACGGAAACAAAGTCAGTCACGATTTTTATCTCAGATACCTTATGTTGTTTTATGTTTGATGGTCTACGCTTCTTGCTGCTTCTATAATTTTACGCTCCCGCCTTCCCAATTGCATGCCCTTAGTGATGTTTATGCATACCGTGTCATGTCTAATTTGTTTTCATCATTTCTTGTCTTTTTTTGCCATGCCATATGTTCTGGGTTTCCATAGTAACGAGACGACCTGAATGTGTCCACGATGTCATGATTCTTCTTTTTCCCCCTTCCTCTTTCTGTTCTTGTTTGTTTCTCATGCACGATTACGCACGCCATGTCAAAGAGTAACCTACACCTACTAGCTAGTGATGAAGTTTTTTCTTTTACAGATATAGATAGGTAGCCGGATATACAATGCAGGGTCTTACCTTCTATCTCAATATGAGTTCGGCAATTTATTGAGCTACTATTTATGTAGAGATGCAACGACTTACTGCACACTACTAGTAGTAGGGTAGTATACATGGTGTGACTGTCCAGTTCCATGTTCATCTGTAGCGAAGAATACTACTCGATATAAATACATCTATTCATCATTCACCATCCTATCATACATACATACATACACACACACTAGCTATCTATACAACATGCTGCTCACTGCTCCCCAATAACCTCCATCCCACCCATAAACCCCCTCAACACCTCCGGCACAACCACCACTCCTCTCTCCGCATCCCATCCATTCTCCAGAATAGCAGCCAGCACGCGAGGAACCGCCATCGCCGTTCCATTCACCGTATGCGGGAACCGCGACTCCTTAGCCGCACCGCCACGCACACGGGTCCCCAGCCGACGACTCTGGTAATCGGTACAGATAGACGCGGAAGTGACCTCGCCCCAGCCAGACTCAAGGTCCCCGGCACGCAGTCTCGACGGGAAGAGGACTTCGATATCGCGTTTGCGGCTGGCGCTGGCGCCCAAGTCGGAGGTGGGCATCTCCAGGACACGGGCGGGGAGGTTCAGAGCGGTGAGGATCTCCGTCTGGATGGAGAGGAGCTCTGCGAAGAGGTCGTCCGAGGTGGATGTGGTATTGGTAGAGTCAGGGAGGTTATCCGCCCAGGCGAACATCTCGACCTTGGTGAATTCGTGCACACGGTACAGACCCTTTGTGTCGACGCCGCGGGAGCCGGCTTCGGCGCGGTAGCACCGGCTGGGGCCGACGAGACGGAGGGGGAGTTGACTGGCGGGGATGTCGCGGCCGGCGTGCATGGCTGCGAGAGGGATTTCGGCGGTGCCGGCGAGGGAGCGTTGGGGCTTGGACTTGTCCTTTTCGGTTTGCTCGATGGTCCAGATCTGTTGCTCATTGTGCTGGTCGCGCGGCTGGAAGCCGCAGGCTTCGGCGATGTAGGAGTATACGAGCGAGGGAGGGGACACGGCTTTCCAGCCGTGGCGGCGGGCCACGCTGAGGGCGTATTGGACGAGGGCTTGTTCGAGGAGGGCGCCCTCGTTGGTCAGGAAGTACCAGCCCCAGCCGGTGGTGATGGCCGAGCTGGTGAAGTCGAGGAGACCGAGCTTGGTGCCGATGGTGACGTGGGAGCGGTTTGGATCGGGGCGTGTCACCCATTCCGGGGGTGATTGAGGGTCGAAGTTGATGTAGTTGATCAGGGTTGGGTCGGCGCCGATTGGGGTGTGGGTGGAGGAGAGGTTGGGGAGGGAGAGGGCGAGTCGGTGGATTTCCTCGGTGCAGGTGGTTTTCCGGGTTGACATGTTGTTGGAGTCATCTTTGAGACGAGTGGCCTCGGCGCGGAGGGAGGTCAGGTCGGAGGAAGAGTCATTGTTGGCGGCACTGGCGACTTTGGCGATGGCTTTCTCCAATTCCTTGATGCGGGCTCGGGGGGTCTTGAGATCTTGGTCGAGACGTCGCGCTTCATCGGTCAGCTGCTGGATCTTGAGAGGGTATTCTGCGTGGGCGGGATAGTTGCGGTCGACGCAGTTCTTGGAGTAGAGCTCTGGGTTTTGGCGGATGTGCTTGATGTCCGGGGTGGGTTTGGGGGCCGTCGCGGGGCGGATGATGTCTGCTCGTCGGGTAGACGAGGAGAACGGACGACGGCCGAACAGCCTGCAATTGATGCAGACGTAGGGGGGTCTTGGTGGAGCCATTGGTGAGGAGGGAATTAATAGAGAGGGAAGATGGAGATGGAAAATGGAATGAAGATTGAATGTCGCGATGCTCACGCGGCCGCCTTTCCCGATCGGGCGGTCGCTCCACAGAGTCGCTGGATTAATGGGAAGACAATCGCATTGGCACGGATTAAGTTATAGACAGGAAGTAAATGAGGTGGCTAGAGAGCTTATGCGTCTGCTAAGAAGAACTGTTCATCCAATGTGCATGTTCGAAAGTATCATTACTCATGTTGACCGCTAGGAGTACTATACTGAGTCCCCGCATATAGTTACTATAACCCATTCCACGGTAGTACCAGGACAGTCTTTCACAGCATTCCACAGCATCAAGGTCCATAGCATCATGACCATCAGAGCCATGGTATTCCCTTACAACCCCAACTTATGCTTCTTGATCCTCGCTCCCAATCCCAGGATAACCAAGACCGAGGCCACCAGCACTCCCCACAACGGAATACTCAATACGTTGAGATTGTAAGTAGTCTGAGTTGCCGCCGACACAGTTGCCAGTTCCAAGAGCAGCAACACGTAGCCTGACTTGCGATGGTACTTGTAGATGGTCTTGCCCTTCTCCACACTACCCAGGACCTGGACAGGGACGAAGTACTGCACGACACCTACCAGGACCTGCAGGATGATGAAGATATAGGTGATGAGACCGAGGATGCCGTGCGGGGAGGTAAAGCGAGCATGGTCGCCCTTGTTGATCTCGATGATGATGAAAGCAGTGATGAAACCGAGGAGGCTGAGGGTCTGGATGATGTAATGGATGATGGTTCCGAGGCGCTTTTGGTGAGGAGTGGTGGTGGGTTGGAGGATGAGAGTGGCTTGGACTTGAAGCAGAAGGGCAGCGGAGTTGAGGAGCTGATGGAGGAATTAGTTGGCGAATTACTTACTGGGATAACCGTGATGGTCATAGTAACTAGTGATGTGGTGATGATGACTTACGGGATGAGCGGAGAAGAATATCAACGGGTGAGATAAGATACCCGTCCAGACGAGGATGGCCAGCTGAGCAAGGACTCAGTCAGTAAGATACAAGAGGAGCAACAAAGGATCTTCTTACCATCCAGATTCCGATTTGAGCTGCACTGGCCGTGCCTAATAGTGTAATGAGCATTAGCTGGGAGAAGATACATTTTCATCGTTACTCCGAGGAATAATCAACTCACCTGTAAAGAGGTTCTGGTAGATAGCAGCGTTTTCTTTCTGGGGCACATTTCCCGGGGTATGCAGCAGGGGCGCATCCTCCTGCTCTTGGATGGTGTCGGGATGTTCTTGGGGGATACCCGTAGCAGAAGCCATGGTGTGTTGATACTACTAGATAGTACTATCTAGATGGCAGTATATAGCAGACAGTAGTATGAGGGAGAGAAGATCAGCGACGGGAGATGCGCAGCGGGTCCTTAAATGGGGACAAGAGAATGACGAATTCGGGGCTGTGGATTGTTCATCATTCAAAGTGGGGGAGCCCGACCGGCGCCAATTAGAAGGGATGAGATTGCAATATGCTTATGCTGGGGGGTTTCCATGGATTGATAAGACAGTTACTAGTAACTAACTAACTAGTTCACTAACTAGTTGGTTTATCTAAGTATAGTACTGCTCAAGCGAGTATGTGGCTTGTATACCCACCCCTCACCGCTATGCTTTCAGCAAGGAACATCATGATGTTGATATCGAAGCAGTCATATTCCGCTCTCCAAGTTCATCTCAAATGCAAAGAGTATTTTGCAAGATTAAAAGAGTTTGAAGTTGCCAAGCAATCCAGCAATATATGACATGATGCAATAGGTGGAGGATCCGACGAAGAAAGGGCACTAGAATCTGTAGTGGAACAACAAGAGAGAAAATGAATCAAAAGAACAACCGCCAACAAAGTAGAGCAGAGATAGCAACCCTCAAGAGCAAACAAAGTATATACACCAACATATCGACCAAAGAAAAGAACCCCAAGGATGGTACAAGCAAAGTACCTAGCAGCCACGTTTACCCTGGCCAGGGAGCGGACGACTATGGCGCATGGGAGGAGAACGAACGACTCTGGAGAAGCGCTCATTAAGATGCGGGTTAACCTCCAAGTCTTGTTGCCCATTGTCCTCCCACTCCTCAGAATCCCCGTCGCCAGATCGGGACCAGTCATCATTGTCATAACTCATATCATCGAATTCAGACCCACCGAATTCGGACCCCTCCGGCTCCCCCTTGGAGACATCGTCATAGTAGTCACTGCGCGAGGAGGCTTCCGATTCAGTCCTCTCACTGAAGAAGGGTAGTATTCCCCTATGAGTACTGGCCACAGCTCCATAGTGACTACTCGCAGAAGAAACAGAGGGTGATCCTTCCTCGGAGTCAGGGTCGAGCAATCCTCTGGTCAGGAAACCTTCGGCGCTAGAGCTCGCGATATGCCCTTCATTCGTGTAGGTTGACCAGCACGTATATAGGCCATCATTTGACCTATCATTGGCCGAGTTGCTCTCACTCTGTCTGGGCGAGGCCTGATCTGTCGTGACCACGCAAGGAGATGCTTGAGCCAATTTCTTCTAGTTTAAGAAGAAACTGGAATCAGGACTTGCACAAGACGAAAGGGGATATGTGTCGAGGAGGACCTACCGACTCAGCAGTGCTGTCCGTCTTAGATTGGAGAGTTGAATGAGTCAAACGCTTCTAGGGCAAGGGAGAACTAGATCAGGACTGGGGGACCATGAAACGGGGATATCTGCCGATGAAGGACTTACAGACTCGGTAACGCTATCCATTTTGGGACGCAGAAGAGAGAGAAGGCTTAGAGGGTGTAAACGTAAATACTAATAATATAGAGAGCATTCGAGAGAGCAATCAGAAACGCATCAGGGAAGCAATCAAGAGAGTATTCAAGAGAGGGATCAGGAAGGCAATCAAGAGAGCATTCAAAAGAGGGATCAGGAAGGCAGTCGAGAGAGCATTCAAGAGAGCAACCCGTCCAGAGAAGAACAGTGTGGACAGTATCAGCAACCGTTCAGAGAAGAACAGTGTAGACAGTATAAAACTGTGTGGAGATTTGGGATATGAAGAAGAACACGTTCTCCCTGGACTTTGGGACCTATTTATGCCCCAAGGAAGGCTGCAATCATCTTCCCGTTCACTACAAGACACAGTGAATCATCCCAGTGATTTGCTCGACGACATCATCACTGCATGTAACAAGACCAACACGCTTCAGGCGAGTGAAAAGTGATAGTATGTTCAAGGGCCGTGATTCGGTGTCCTGCCGCGGGCCCCCTTCACGGGGGCCCGTCTGGGATGTGACCAATCGTGAACTAGGGTTGATAGTCCGGGGTACTTGTAGAACACAAAGATTTATATAGATGACTGGAATGCTGAATGGACTCGAGTGGGAGAAGGGGCCTTCTTATATAGAGGAGAATGCATGTTGAATTAACTGAACATTGTAGGATTCTCCCGATCCTGCGTGGGCAAGTTCCGTAGGTATTCCTAAAAAAAGCATCGGGATATTCCATAGTATTGACAAACATTAACTATGGCGGCCTTAAAAATCCAGAGCCATCACCAAAAGTTCACTTCCGTCTTTAGTCCTCTTTCCCTGCCCGATTGGGAATTGCATTTGCTTAGTGGAAAGGCAGTTTCAGCAGGTCACTCTCCTCTCCGGAACCTGGTCGTCCAATGACCACCTCTGCCCCTAGGGCCTCCGGCTGCAGGCGCATGACAATATTGAAGAGAGTCGACGATCGCGAAATTGGGTGCCTGGCCATGTCTTCCTGACAGGATATCGACTGGGGGGCGTTGTAAGTGTCAGAAAATACTCTTTCCCTGAGCACCTGCCCGATAATGGCATCCTCTTCGAGCACTCCATCCCTGATTAGCTCACGGGTCAGTTCCCGGGCCCGTGCCAATCGTATCGGCGAACCAGACAACCATGGTGGCTCGTACACAAATCGATTCTCTAGAAAGTGATTTGTGTGTGCTACCATACCATACTCGTCCGGCTGAAGATGTACATCTCCCAAGGGAGATAGTTCCAGTCCCAGCGAGCTTTTACTATCAGCAATCAAGATGTGCTGGCTGGACCCCACACCCCCCAGGGACTCCAGCGTCTGCACTGCCTCATCGACCGATGTGCTTTCCAGACAGAGTCGCAGCGCAACGTGAATGGGCAGTTTGGATGGAACACAAGGATGAGCACGAATGGCGTTGAGGCAGGTTCCAACACAGGCAGTATTGAAGCCGATTTTACCCACGATGCCAGCCTAATTCACACTTAATAACTGAAATTAAATTGGCAAAGTGAAGAAGTGCATCCGGAATTTACATGAGGGGTGACTCACTTCGGTGACCATGTGAATGGTTGGTTTTCCAGGCTGTTCAATCTACATAAGCGCAATATTCTTCTGTATCGTGGTGGTAAAGTCCCAGTTCTGGGCAAGAATACGACACTGATCGTTTCTCTTCCATGAAAGGCTAGTGCACCCGTCTGTGAACTTGCCAAAAGTTATTTCACTTCGACAGTTCAAGGCTACAATGTCGAGAAGGTCGACCCCTGCACCCTCTGCAATTCCCTCCATTTCTTGGTAGAGGTGGGGGGTGGCGCGCTGGATTGTGGCCGCAAATTGGTCTGCTTGCCGCCGGACTGCATCCCAAGACAAATTACAGTTCACCTGGAACATCTCTTCGTAGATGGTGATTTGGCTGCTTATTTGCGGCCGAAGGCGAGACCCATGATGGAACCCAATCTGCGTGCGTTACGAGACACTTAGTTACCGGATTCCAAGCCGGGAAATGGTCCAAGGGTGTTGCTAGTACTTACCTCTCTTGGGGTGCCGGTGAGGACCAGTTTGGGTGGCTCTTCAACTTTGGAATACATTTCGTGCAGTTTAGCTGATGTTACACTCGCAGGATGAGAAGCTTACGGAGATTTGGGAGTCTGAATGAATTGGGGGGACGGCCTGTTTGTGAAAGTCCGTCTTATCAACATGGCGGGGTTGAATTGATAGGCTTATCGGCTAAGTAGAGCAATGCTGCGGGGAAGTGGCGATCCGGACATTTACCTCGGAGATTTAAGGTTGACTACTCACGATGGGAATACCAACTACTATGGCATTGTTAAGGATGTCTATCCAAAAAGATCCATGTCACTACTCGGTATAGTTATCTAAACAACTGGGGTCTGTCGTGATCTCCACCAACCCAACCCACCCGCTCCACATGCCTGCCCCACTTGTCCAGTTGACCGGTGATCCTCGTATCGACCGTTGGAACTATCCCTTCCTATAGAGCAGCCATCCGTGATAGTTGATAAATTCTTCTTGAAGTCGGTACATAATACACGATCAATAATCGTTGGCTTATTTACTCAGTGAGAAGAACGTTGTCCGGCCGGTCACATTGGGATGAGTGAAATAACTATAGGCCTGGACACTCACCATGATAACACATCGCTGCCGAAACTTGAGACAAGTGTTTCTGCTGTGTATCTCTCACGATGCATCTGGCAGAGATTAATGTCAGCATAGGCCTGCTTTTACATTCAGAAAATACAAAATCAAATCACTCCAAAGCTTCCACACGCGCTCCCGCAAAACCGTTAGCTTCAAGTCTCGGCCGAAGTTAAGATGACTATGAATCTGTTCTGTGCCTGAAATGACATACCCGTCTATAATCTGAACGACAAGCTAAAGCCAATTCTAAACCAGATTGGCTGGCTCTGCGCCACCAACGATGACAACCTCCATTCCGGCTGACACGGAATCTGACCCGACTTTCTCTCTTCGTCGGGTCTAGGATGGCCTGAGTCCCGCCTTGCTTTTGTGCAACCAACCTCAAGCTGCAGCCGAATTGGCTCTTAGTAGTCTAGACTGACAGAGCCCAGATAGATACCCTGTCACTTTGATCTATCCTAGCTCGCACGACTGAACAGGGTTACCACAGGCATTGCTGTCGCTACTACACAACGCACTAGTCTCCAGCGGCTTTCTCTTTCCGTCCCCCGCCTTACCTGCCTCATGACTAGGAAAGACACGTCAGTATAATTGGGGGTTTTAGCTTCGAGAAATCCACCAAACCCTGCAGCTGCACGGGCTCCTCAACTTAGTCTCACGAGGTATGCCAAGCCGGTAGCAAGCGTTAAGCGAAGTTCGACCACCAGTCATCTGTCTCCATTACCGACTCCTGACTGCATCCCAAACTACGAGGTAGTATCTAGGTGGTGCTAATACCTAAGCAGGATCTGAATCCTTGCATGCCCGCCGTCTCTTCTTTCACTCATCGGACCGGACCGTAGGTCGATAGGCACTCTACGCGCTAAGCTACCTACAAGCTATAGTAGTATCTGCTTAGCATACACTAGCACGAGTGGGATCACCTGGCGGTAGAAAATATAACTGGTACTAGCGTAACTGTATATCCAAAGTTAGATTTTATGTACAGACAAGTGGTGGGTGGCCACTAGCTATGCTTTGTAGTAGTTTGGCAGCATTTGGACATCTGATCATGAATCTAGCAACTACACTACTTGGTAATTAAAGCAAAGTTATTCTCAAGGCAAAGGACAGTGGCGGACTCAGCTGTATGTATATGATCTATCTAGTTCTCTCTCTCTCTCTCTCTCTCACTGTGTGTGTGTACTGGGGATAGTCAGCAACCACGTAGGCAGAGGTGGCGACGGGTCAGGTGATGTGTGGCTACAGTAAATGTCTCAACAATCATAGTAACCCAAACAGATGAGATCGCACAAGTACTAGAAGCCGAGAAAAATTGTCTACGATGGATACTGGCACCCCGGTGAAGAATTGATTCAGCAAAGACCTGGCCGGTGCGTGGCCTGCCCTAATTTAGTATTTGGTGGACGTTACGGAACGAAAGAGAAGATGAGCCAGAAACCTTAAAAAGTACCAAAAAAGTACTACCTGACACAGTCAATGAAATTTATCTGGATTCGGAAAACATAAGCTCAAGAATCGAAAGCCGTATACTACTAGTACTCCGTAACTGATTTAGTAACCTGCTATTGGCTCTCTAACCGCCACGGCACGCTGCTACAGCAACATGGGCATACATTTGAACCAAGAAACCGGACTCTGGACGATCCCGTGTTGTTGAGCTGATGCATGAGTTAACATAACGGCATAGAGAGGTGCTGAGCTAAGACAGACTCTCATTTTGATAGGATTGTCCTGGACTTACTACTAGGCGGGCCGGGCCTCAGGGCTCGACCGCCTGAATGATGCTGAAGCGTTTAGAAAACACCACAGTGATAGCTTGGTAGCACGCCAGTGGCGCCTTGCCAGTCAGTCCGCTGGATCCCCTTATCTTAGTGTAGTGCCACTGGCAGTTGTCCGGGGTACACAGTAAGACAGATGAGGAGGTGTAGTAGTTCGTATTTGTGTGACCGGAACTCACACCCCTTCGCGGCCGGGCCAATTGACTTCCTGCGATATGAACAGTGCTGGGATGTTGCAGCTGAGGATAGCAGGGAGTAATACTTCCTGCTGCGAAAGGGTTGAGGCTGCGCAATGTCCAGCCTGAGTAGAGAGGTTACAGAGAGACCAGCTAATCGAAACTTTTCTTAGTAGAAATACTCACAGAAGTGTCTGGAATTCTCACCGCTGCAAGTTCAAGTTGATCGAACTGGTTGGACCATTGGATGCCTATGCGCGTGAGGTGACATTCGACCAAGTATGGATCCCACTAACGGCTGCTTCGATGCTTCGAGTGCGGCTATTATGGGTTCAGGCCAACCAATTGGCCAGCGGAGTCGTGCAGCCGTAAGTTATGCTATCCATCCAATAAAGAGTCGTAGGATGAAACAATGCCCGAGACCGGAATACATCCTGGACACTGTATGTCTTTCTTTGAATAGGAGGGTAGTGAGCTTTAGTAAGAAACGAATTGGGTGCAGGAGGGTCGGGTGAGAAGTCGATCGGCCGAAGTTTAGCTTGATTTCCGGTTGAAGAATGCGCATGGACTTGGATCTAGCAGGGATGGTTTGGTGGTATGGTATGTATGGTATGGTATGACCGAGCAGCATTCTGTCTGTTGCTTCAGGTTCACGTTCATACATGAAGTCTTTCTTTTGCTTTTCTGGCTCGTGTTGTGTCTTTGGATGTGTCTTATATCATGTCAAACAGTGGTAAAGGTCCCATCTATGTCTATTCGAGGCTATCTATGCTGACTCTATGGATCTATACACAAATTCCACATCTAGTCTATTTACTGAACGTCTCAATCGCCGTCGTGTCCACACCAATTGTGATATATCCAATCAGGCCTTGGGACAGATCGTTCTCATCCACAGGAACAACAGACACAACCGGGTTATAACCGCCCTCGAGATCCTCAGGGTACACCGAGTCTTCGGCATTGGTAGTCCGGTTAATTTGAGTGTGAGACACATAAGGCTCCATACTCATAATCTTCTGCTCAAGCTCCTCCTCGAAATACAGCTGGCCAGTACTGACGGTATTACTGGCGATGATAGTGCCGTTTTCGCGAACGACCCAGTCAGTATGAACCTGGGCGTGGATGTGGATGGCACGCTCGACGTAGAAGCCTACATTACATATCAGTAAGTTCATGTAGCTATATTGGCAATGAAAGTGACTTACCTGGGAATATGGTCTTCATCTCCATAACGCCCTCCTCGTTCGTCGGCCACATACCACGCAGCCAGGTAGTATCGTCCGTGTGCAGGTCCGTGACTCCCAATTCAAAATCGGTAATGTTCATCTCAGAAAGGAGGGTCTCGAAGGGGGTGTTGGGGGAGAGACCCGTGAACGAGGAGTAGGAACCCGTTGCGTTGCAGTGCCAAAAGTCGAGAAGGGCGTTGGGCAATGGCTCGCAGGTGGCCATGTCCAAAACTCCCACATCGAGCCATAGGGGCACACCTGGCTGGTCTTCGGTCATGTCTTGACGAAGGGTCTGGGAGCGAGGCCAGACGTAGGGACCACGGGTGACCTCCGGGGTGAGGACGCAGGTGTTGTTCTGGATGGTCTCGTAGTAGGGAGCTTCGGTGGTTATCTCAAATGTAGTATTATGGCCGGATCCCTCCCAACGCTTCTGCATGCCTCGCTTGGCCATGCGACGCTGGTTGAAGCGCCCAACATGGCTGGCGCATCGTTTGGCCATGTCGCTGCGGCGCTGGATCTCTGCACGAGGGAGGATGTCGTGCGGACCCGGATGGGCAATTGCAGTGCCCGCCGCTAGGGCAGTAAGAAAGAGCTTGGAATAGTGCATTTTGAAAGGGATATTGGGAGAAAGTCGTTGGTGAACCGAGCTATGCTGTTGACTCCGAGGACGGGGGTTTGGTGGCTTTATATAGACGCGTCTTCACTGGCCTCGCGGAGTCAAACAAGCGCACGGAGAATGATATCCTCTCATTGCCTCCTTCAACGCACTTGGCCATCTAATTGTGGATTGTAACAGCCAGTAGATAGAGCATGCTTCCTTGGCAATTTGGCAAACCTCAGTGGACTCTCCGTCTGGTACCGACCCTTGACCACATCAACGGGGGCAAGATGTCGCCATTATCTTGGCATCTATATCTCTGCAAGGTATAGATCACCAGGGGCAGTGACCTATCTTCTCCAATTGCCGTAGCTTCGTAATGAAGGCCACCTCATGGGTCCTCTCGTGGAGGAGCTGCCTTGGCGCTTTCATCCGCCGGGAAGAAAACATGAAGTCTTGGGCTTGGTACATTACGCAACTACCCCATCCTAGACAGATATTGCAAGATAGGAGCAGTGCTGAGGTCAAGTAGTGTGGAACATGTCTCATGGCTAGGCTGCACAAATAAAGGGTTCAAGATTATTGGAGGATCCAGGGTGCTTTAAACTGATCGGCGCTGTTCGAACACACTAACTTCTTGTGGATCTCCGAACATCCCGCTGATTCAGCAGTATATAGAACTCCTCTGGGGTGAAGCTGCCAAGAGTGGAGAATTAAGAATCGGTACCATGGGGAACAGACTTTTTCGGAGATGGCGGGAGCTGATAGCGATGTTATAGATGTGGGTAGGATAACTAACAACCATGGCCTGTAATTGTCTGAGTAAGCGGAAGAATGAGCAACAGAAACAGCCCCGTTGTGGTCCAGTCTTCCCACGTCGATGTGAACGGCAGCTTCTGCTTATCTTTGCGTGATTCGATCAGATTCTGCTTGTCGTCATATTTGTAAATTGTTGAGATGAGACACGATTCCCGAAGCTGGAAATCGTAGTTCTGCGGAAAGACTCAGTGCTCTACGATCCACTAGTCAATTCCCAGCCATGGAAGTCAGTCCAATCACTAACAGTTGTCATCGACTGGTCTACTTTCTAGAAGAAGGCCCGCCATGAGGTTTTCGCTACATATAGGGCCTAAATATAAGCGGACCTCATCAGTACCTATCCGGTGTGAGCCATACCATTGATAGTACACCCCTGATTTGGAGGTTACCTTCATTTCCCCGCTGCTCCCAACGACGAAGTGTTTCCAAGATGTCCTCAGCCCTCATCTAGAACTGAGGCATGCCCCGTCCGCAACCATACAACTTCAGTTCACGTTTAGCTCCATCCCCTTCTTCTTCGTCCCAGTCATCCTTCGGCTCCCACAGATAGTAAGCAGGGGCTCCCTTTGATTTCAACAGACAAACCATATCATCATCACCTTTGCGTAGCGCCACATGATGCGCGGCAGCACCACATAGATCAGCCCGGGCACCATGCCCCAGCATGAATTCCATCATTGATTGATCTCCCCGCTGCGCCGCCAATTTCAAGGAGCTCTCAACATTCGCCGCTCCGCCCTGCATCAACATAAGCACAATGTCTTTTCTCCCATCAGCAACAGCTCGGTATAAAGGCGAGGAATTATTTCGATCTGGTTCAGACCCCCGGCTCAACAAACACTCCACGAGCTCTTCGTTACCGCACTGAACGGCCAGAAAGAGTGGTGGAACGTCTGGGGGAGGATATTCCGGCAACATATGCAAGCCAAATAGGTATTTGGCAGCCGACACCCCGATAAAAGTTCGGCTGTGCACCATGGTCCAGAAGCAATGCCACCATATCCTTCTGTCCGGCTTGAATACCTGCAAGTAGTGCTTTCTTATTCATGACGATATCTGTGGTACTGTACCTCGCCGCGCGTGAGGGATGGCGTGCAATATCGGCAAAGCTGAACATTTGGACCATATCCTCATCATCACTATCTGGTGACTCTGCTGAATCGATGAGCTCGCTATCAGACCCGGAATTCACGTCGGAGTTTCTTTCATTGCCGAGCAATGCCCATTTGCGTCGTGCGGGGTGTGGCAGACGATGAGACTTGCCCACAGCGGCTTAAGTTCGTCGAAGAGTCTGCCAGCTAGATACAAGTCACCCCTTATTGCAACAAATATCAGAGCCGAGGCATGGTAGTAGCGACAGTTATAGTCATAGAGAACATCTCTAAGGAGGTAATAGAGCCGACGATTAGTTCTCACAAGGGCGTAAAGGTCCCGTTGACGGCGAAGGAAGGAGACAATGGCGAGAAGAGTCTCATTTGGGAGATGAGCGAGGTGCATCTATAGCGGAAATCCAAGGTCCGGGACTGTTAAAATGGTATGATGTTCTGGATATATTCAAAAGGAACAAGCGCTTATTTTAGTTCAGTTGGAGACTAGTTGATTAAGGGCCGGCCAGTGCCGCAATCACCTTTACCAAAACAGGTATGACCCACCAGATGAGAAGACGAAACATGTTGATTTTGTCGAAACTGAACAACATGAGGATATTTCAGCGCCTTTATTTCACACTCTCATTGCTGACCGTCAATATTGACCGGGTCGGGTGATAGATCCACAATCTTCGGAAGTAGGAGGCGTGCCATCATCGATGACAAACCGAAGTACTTATATGGCTATACTAAGTATGGCCGAAATATCACATCTGTGGATTCAGTGAGTAGGGCTTCCATTTCTCCTACACAACCGGAGCTTATCCTATCACTCACCGATCATCCCTGCCAATCTGACCAGAATAGCTCTGCTCTGATAGTAACACGATCAACAACCGTATCAGACTCAATTGGCTCAATCACGGCCTGATTCCCAAATTTATAGTGATTAATCTTTGGTGGTATGCTTCTGATTACTGCTCTCCCTTCTAATCTTAAGAAACAGATCTATATTGTAGGTTCCTTGACGGCCTTCATACATGCGCCTGGCGTTACTTTGCGACAGGTATCTACCTTTCCATCTCTCCATCGGCGGCTCGAATATACGCGTTACATCGTCTTTGTTCTAGCGGTTAGCGCGTCGACAGTTATTGAAACTGGTCAAAGTTGAACATTACGGTGCAAACATGATGAAGACCAATAATCTATGTCTTGTAGCGCTCTTCTTAAACGATGGGAAGGCTTTGATGAACGTCAGAGTATCGGTCATGTGCCCGGCATAGCTCCTTCCATTCTTGATTCCCGAGAGACTTCCTCCACGATCCTTCCAGCTTAACTTCTTTCCGGCTCTCCAACCCACCAAAATCATCCACGGGAAGCGGATAGCATAAGTCTAATCAGAAATCATAGGCAAAATGCCAACCTCTAATTTGGAAAGAACGTCCTAACTATATCTTTGCCACTCGAGTCACTGTCAGTCCCTAAAAAGAATACTTCGCCTGGCCCCAGACCTTGCATTAATTGAAACTTGACTTGCAGTACCGCTGATGATTGCCATTCCGTTCGAGACATAAGCCAAAGCCAATCGCCACGTCTTTTACCCCTAAAGGGTCTAGGCCAATACTTGGTCCGCGTTCTTATCTCCGAAGGCAGCATATAAAACACCCCAGGGCAGCAGTATCTCTGTAAGGAGCAGGCGTCTCTGGTGAGAATCTCAACATGTGCGTGGTACAAGGCAGCAGCTTGGGCCACCACTACACCTGGCGGGAATGGATAGCTGTGTAACGCAGAAAAGCCATTCTTTTTGATCTGATCCGACAACTGCATCATTGTGAGACACTGGCCTGTCTTTTGATGCTCTGGTCACATACGGGGAGGCGATTCCTTCCATAGCAAGCCTTGCGGTGTCGTGCATTCGACAGGGTCAAGATGTAAACTAAGAAGAGACCACGTCGATAAAGCCTCCGGAAACAGAAGCAAGACAGGGACACCATGTTTCAGGAATGGCCGCCCTCTTTGCACATGGACTGGTCTTCGCATGTTTCATTGCCTGTTGCCCAAAGGTGCAACGAGCCAGCTGCAGTGACGGTCGGGCAGTTATTAGTAGTCATGATGCTTATGCATCAAGGACATGACGCTGGCAGTGAACGACTCAGTCAACTCATCAAACAGCCAATATGTCTAATTTATCGACCCTACTAGCTGTCATTAACTGGTGAGGAATGGGCTTGAATGGCAGTCTGAGATCACAAGTACCTATACGTTTTAACATAGTGTGTTCTCATTGGTAGCAGGCGACAAAGACTTTGATTCATACATTTTTTCGATGCTAGGCAATCAGCCTTGCATCAGTCAGTTCAATGGCAGCAAAATGCGGTCTGCAGTGTCCGTATGACGACAACCATGGCTTCAATATTTGAAATGCGCCAGGCATTTAGAGTTTCCAGCAGATTCTACTTTTATATTCTGGAAGCCATGCTCCGACTCACATCCGTGTCACACTCGATATATGGTCTGCCGCCCGAATCGCCCTATTACAACATCAGACACGGGAAGCTAGAGCCGGCTCTGTGCAATGATAGCTAAGGCTCGTATCCTGTTCCCGAAACGAGCTACCTACAATTGTCTTTAACCTTCTTTCATACCTTGACCACGATATCAGGCTTCGAGGCTTAATTATCACTAGCTGCATAGTGTCCTCTTGATATAAAAGATGAGAAGGTCCTGCGAGTGCTCGCAACAGATATCTCGATAAAGTTAATTCTAGTTGGCGATCACTGGTAAGGTGAATTCGTTGGATATCTTGGGGCGTGGGGGTTCTATGCAATAGCTTCGGTTCAGTAGCTGTCGGCTACACGGCAGTGCATGCTGTCTCCCTTACAGTCATGAAGGTAGTTATGTTTACCAATTTTGGAGACAGAACTCAGCCAACTCATGGCTTGCCAGCAGTTTTGTTCTGTTCTCCTACAAGCACATCCTGGCCGTTTGTTGAGCAGGCGACCAGACCAGTGTCGCAGTGTTGCTGGCCACCTCCTCTTTACTTTCACCAATACGACGCTCTTGGCAGTATTGGGCGCCACAACGCACAGCCTGTATGGCGTGGATGCTGCTACTCTCTCTTCACGACGGCACAAGGCCTGCCCAGGCATCATGGGTCACAGTTTGCGTTAAATACACTGGTCATGGTCGTATGATCCTCAATACATGAGTCGTATACAGCTACGCACAGTCAGAAGTGAACAGAGAAAAGGCTAAGGTTTTTGACTACAAAAAGCAGGCTAAATAGCATGGTGTAGATTTTGTTCAGAAGCTGGTGTCAGACAAATCAGGCGCAATACCACTATCCAAGCGCCGATTGACGGGAGACTTTGGACTTAAAGTTCTTATCTGGGCATAGCTTCTTCAGTAACACCACATATCTGACCTCACCTTGTGTATTCAACAAGCACTTTCAAAGCCTCTACTGTTCCTCTAACTAAACCCCAGGCTACCATCATATATGCTACATTCTCCAAGTCACATGCCACACTCATGCTTATGTGCATCCGTTCATAGGTTCACTCTGGACAGTCCGATCTGGGCAAGCATCCAGGATCCTTTGCCACATGCCACCATGAACTGAGGAACAAAATACGTACATGATCATCAACTAGGCCAAGCATCGCAAGCTCCCTGAATTCTAGTCCTCATATACTTCCGATGTTATTGCACTATGCCGGCAAGGAGCCCGTTGGCAGCACCGGTCCGCATGATCAACAGGCACGGATGGAGGCATGAACCATGCATCTAATTGCAGGGAAAGGAAAGCCGGTCTCAGGTCCATAGGGGCCAACGGGGCCAACGGCGTCGGGATTTTCGAGTAGTGTTAGCCGCCCTTTTTTGAAAAGCGGGCCCAGTACAGCTAAGGGCCATACTCCCTGCTTTTACTTAGAAGGCAAATAAATTGGTGATACTCCATCTCTGCACCGATCGTGTACCCTTGCTTTTGCGCTCGGATTCTAAAGCCCGTCATTCCCACAGAGCGTTACACAAACAACACACCCAGCGGCTACTTGCATACCCTCGGAAGAAGCTACGAATCGGGGATTATGAAGGAAAACAAACTGTCAGACAGTCCCCAAAGGCGACGAAGCGGTTGCCTTCCACGACGCGGGTATCCCAGGTAAAACTCTGCGCTTCCTTGGCAACGTTCAGAATCTCTTTCGCGGAAAAGGGGTAGCTGGAGTCATAGTGGATGGATGCATTTTGATTATCTATTTGTGGGAAGAGCCGGTTGTTTAGGGTTTCGCCTCTCAGGGGCGAGCATCTTCTCCCTCTTCGGCAGCCTTTGATGTCCTTACCTTGCTTGGGTGTGTAACAAACGGGACGCATGGCCTCGGGTGCGCTTGCGGCACGGTCAACTGTCAGTAGTGTTCATGTGTGTTTACATATCACTACATATGCAAGCACCACACCAGATACAGGGTCTAAGGATTGCCGTTGTCAGTGCGGCCTGGACTGCCTCTGATACCTCGATACTCACCGACCTCTGCTGGAACCAACTGATACCCAGACAAGATTAGAAAGGAAGAAAGTTCTGCAAGGCTTGGGCATCCCACTCCCTAGACCGACAGTGGTTGCGCCAGTGTCATCCAGAGGGTTCCACAACTCATCCCAAACAGGAACGAAAGAAGCCCTCGTTCGCCAGGGTTTGGTTTGCCGCGATCATCACGAGGTGGCCTACACAAACGGGCCGGAAGCAGGTGGAAGAACAGCACATACGGTGAAAATTTTTATAGCGACATTTAGTGATCGGTTATTGTTTTCTGTTTCGCAGCGTCATTGGCAACAGGTGCATCTGATGGCATCGTTGGTATCACCTTGATGGCTGTCACTGGATACCCCTAGGAGAAGCTGCAACGGGAGGCGAGAATCAAGCTATAAAGGTCAGCGCGCCACAGCCTGCGGTATGGAACCACTCTGACCTTTTCACCCTATAGCTGTCTTGATTATACCTTCACAAGGAAGCCTATAGTATCATTCTGTTATAGTTTCCATTGGACATCTACGTGAACTCCTACAGACGCACCACTCGCCTTCGCTGGCTTTGAGTCTACGACCCATAAATACCAACACAGTCGTTCCTGGTCGCTGCTAAGAGGTCTATCACAATCATGCCACAGAAAGCCGCTCAGCAATCTGGCATGCCCGAAGGGCGTGGAGTGAGGTACGATGAGATCGATATGGCGCTCTTCCGCGCCAAGCTCTCCTACCATGCGACAGCTGAAGAGCGCATGGCGTCGCGAGATCCGAATCTGGTCTCTATCTCGGAACATCAAGCGAGACTGTTGAGGCTCTGGGAGATGCACCAGCACTCGAGGGAGGAAAAGAACGGTGGTAGCATGACACCGGCCGAGAGGAACCAGCTGGCGCAATTTCAATGGCGATACAAGCGCTTGGAGGACCTCGCCACACAGGGCACGAGGTAGCATAAGACCACAGCAGCATCAGCATGAGAGCTAATTGGGAGAGCATCATTATGGGGCGTTTCGTTAGATGTAGATTCACGAAGCTTTGGGTTGTTGTTTCGAGTTTCGAGACAACCCAGCTGTGGGTGTTTAAACGGCCCGTGAATCATGTTTCTCATTCTTGTTCTTGTTCTTGTTCTTCATCTTTCTTTTTAGCCTGCTGGACACTTGCATCTAAATGTTATTTCCTCTCTCTCTCTCTGTCTAATTCGTTGTTGTTTTTCTCCTCTGCTGTCGGGCCTCTTAGTGCCCATTATTCCTTGACCAGCCCTGTACGTACTCAGATCTCGAAGGGAACACGTTCACGCACCCAATGCACGCCATCTAGTCTAGCCGCAGTAGCACCAAATTAGCACTCCTTCCCCTCGACGTCAAGCATGTAACCCAACCCAATTGAACAAGCTAGCCCCATTGCAACGGTAACGTGCCGTTCCAGTCCAGCACACCCACTCGTACGGGTCCCAGGGGAAACCAAACCCAACCCAAGCACCGAAGGGAGTACAATCATCACCAACTCAGGTCGTACATTGGGCACGCGACAGCAGAATCAACTCTAAATATTGCATGCCTATTGTTCCATTGATTCCATTGCACATGCGAGTTAGAAAGGAAGGGGGGGAGGCGGTGTCCGAGAGCCGAGCGAGCCGGCTCCGTTAATTCCCCAGTTACTTATGCCCCAGTTGGGTTATTGCTCGCTTTCGCTTTGCTGTCACTCCCGCTTATTTCTCCGATCGGATATGTAGTGGTGGTAGAGGTGTGAGTCATATGCGTAGAGACGAGGACTATCCGGGTGAATTGGATTGGAATTGACTTGATGTTGGATTTCCCTCCCCCCCCTCTTCGGCTGTTACATAAAAGGATTGTAGTTGTGGTGGTCGGAAGAGGGCGACGAGGGGTGTCGGAGAGCTCCGACCCGGTGGAAGTGAGTGGGTGGTTCTGGTGGGGTTGGAATTGGGGAGGGACCCGGTTTTGATGGAGGTGGAAAGCAGGTCTGGGGATGGTGTTGTGATGGTGATGGGGTTTGTATGTAGGGAAAATGGGTGAATTGATCTGAATGGATGGTTGCTGGTAGATGAGGAGATAGAGGGTGATAGGAAGGAGAAGGGACTAAGTAGAGTAGAGTAGAATAATATAGAAGATAGAAGGGAGCAAAGTAGATAGAGAAGAATGAGGTGGGGGGAGAAATTGCGGATGAAGCGATAAGATCGAGTAATCGGCGGGGCAGAAGCTCTTATCATTGAACTAACTCCCCTTCATTACTCTTGGTTTCTATCCTCGTCCCTACTTAAACCTCATATTTCCCTCCTGAATTTACTTTCGCCTCTTTTCTCTCCTCATACCATTTCACATATCTTCTTCTCCTACTTCTTCTTTCAAACCTTCCCAGAGTAAAAGATATCATACCAAAGAAATTACCCACCATGTCTTCAGACTACATCCCCGCCGATCAAATCGACTCCACCTTCGCCCACACGACCAACCTCGCCTCCTCCGCCCTCAACAGCACCGTCCTCTCCTGCTCCAACGAATACTTCGCCGCCGCCTCCAACCTCCTCACCCCGACCCCTCCCATCAACCGCCCCGGCGTCTTCATCCACACAGGAGCCTGGTACGACGGCTGGGAAACCCGCCGCCACAACCCCGCCCCCTACGACTGGGCCGTGATCAAGCTGGGCGTCTCCAGCGCCCACATCTACGGCGTCGAAGTCAACACCGGCTTCTTCATCGGTAACTACGGCGAGAAGGCCTCCCTGCAAGCGACCTACGCGCCCAACACTCCGGACTCGGAAGTCGCCGATGAGAAGTACACTGGCTGGACGACGATTCTCCCGCCCGTCGAGTGCGGGCCGTCGCAGCGGCGCGCGTGGAAGCTGGACCCCGAGGTGCACGGCAAGGCGTTCACGCATGTGCGGTTGTTGATGTATCCCGATGGAGGCTTTGGACGGTTGAGGGTCTACGGGAAGGCGATTCCGGGAGATGTTAAGGTGGAGGGGGGTGAGGAGGAATTGAGTTCTGCGCTTGTTGGGGGTGTGGCGCTGGCCGCGTCGGATCAGCATTTCACGCCGTGTTCGAATTTGTTGTTGCCTGGGAGGGGTAAGGATATGGGGGATGGGTGGGAGACGGCGAGGTCCAGGGCTAAGGGTCATGTTGATTGGGCGATTGTGAAGTTGGGGTTGGTGGGGAGTGTGAGTAAGGTGGTGGTGGATACGAAGGATTTCAGGGGGAACTTTCCTAGGGAGGTGCGCGTGCATGGGCTTGTTGAGGGGAGTGTGAAGGGTGAGGAGGAGCCTACGCATGATCATCCCGGTTGGGTGGAGTTGGTTAAGGGTGATAGGCCTTGTCGGGCGGATACGGAGCATGTTTTTGAGGGACAGGATTTGGCTGCTGGTGGGGAGGATACGAGGGCGTTTACGCATGTTAAGTTGACGTTGGTGCCGGATGGAGGTGTCAAGCGGTTGAGGGTGTTTGGGAAGCGGAAGGCTGTTGCTGCTTGATTGCTGGAGGATGTTGGAAATGAAATAAAATGAGGTGTGAAATGGCTACTAGTAAGTTAGATACTAAGAATGAACATGACTGCTAGTTTAAACTTGCAATTCTTGCACCAAAGATATAAATATAATATCTCTAAATCATCCAAACGCCAGACCCTGGTATTCTTCATCCCCTCGTAGACTCAACTGAAAGGAGATGGAAAAAATCACGGTATCACCAAGACATACAGATAGCAAAAACAGGGCACGCGAGCCAGAGATATATGTGATAGACAGAAACAACGCCGAAGGAGACATCACTATGAAGCACAAGGAGTACATCGGACAGACGAAGGTAACCAAAATGCAAGAGACCAAGAATGGAGCCTCAACTGCTGGTATCATCAATCATATGCTTCATCATCATCGCTTAGAACTAAAAGGACATGAACCAGCAAGACACGGAACAACGCTCAGCCCGTACGCTTTTCAAGGTATAAATCGCAAAGTACAATCTAGAATGAGCAACGCAGCAACGTCGATAGGAAATCGCTCAGAACATGCAGGGTATCACAGGCGCGTCGCTGACGGGAGTAGTTCTCGGGCTACTGCTGACCCAGAGGGATGGCAAAGGCTTGCCATTGTAGAGGCGGGGAGGAGGCACCACGACACTAATTTACTGTGGGCTGCCGCTCTTGCAATTGCTTCTCTTCCTCCGGCGTCACAGCGGTGGCTTGGCCGTCAATATTAGGCGATATGGAGTGGCTCCGTGGTGTCCCTGCCTCAGTGCTCACACTTCCTCGTTCCCGGTTCACTAGTCGCGTCCTTGTATATGCTGGCACTGGCGCAAGATATTGGTCAAGCATCTCACTCAATATCGTAGATCGGACCGGCTTGGGCAGGTAGTTATTCATTCCGGCACCAAGGCATTTCTCGCGATCTCCCTCGATGGCACTCGCCGTCATGGCTATGACCAACACTCCGTTGACATTGGGGTCTGGGTCTTTCCGGATTTCGCGAGTCGCGTTGTAACCGTCGAGAGTCGGCATTTGCACATCCATCAGGACCACATGAAACGGGTTACCCTCGCGGGACCGGGTTCGGAGGGCTTCAACCGCCTGCCGCCCATCGCTGTAAGCTTCACACTGAAGATTCAGCCCCTTAACAAATTTGACGGCAATCTTCTGATTAATCGGATTGTCTTCAGCGATACAGACCCGGATTTGATCCCGAGGCACCATGGTCAAGTCTCGAGCGGTAGGAACCGGAGCCTTGTTCTCCACCTGGTTGGCGGCCTTGTTTTTAGCAGCTTTGGCGGCAGCGTCTTTCACCTTGTTGAATGCCAGATGGAACGTCACGGTGGTTCCAACGCCTGAGGTCGAATCGAGCCAGATAGCGCCGCCTAGGACGTCCTCAATGATTGCCTTGCAGATACTCAATCCAAGCCCACTGCCGCCATATGACCGCGCCGTGGAGTTATCAGCCTGCGAAAATGGCCGGAACAGCCGTGATTTCTGTTCTTCTGAAATTCCAATTCCTGTATCGGATACGGAGCACTCTAAACGGACACGCCCCTTGCCTTCCCGGGAAACTTTGGCTCTCACAGTCACAGATCCCTTGGGGGTGAACTTGTAACTGTTGCTGAGAAGGTTCATGAAGATCTGATGCAAGCGAACAGGGTCTCCGAGGACCACAAGTTCTGGTGGGACTTTGTCAAGGTCCTCGATTGTCTCTAAACCGCGATCGCGATGCGTATAGCGAAGTGCGCGAACCACCTCGGAAATTGTTTCTCGGATATTGAGGGGTACGGTAGAGATCTTCATCTTGCCAGCTTCCAACTTGGAGAAGTCAAGGATATCATTGATGAGTGTGAGCAACGTGTCAGCGCAGACACGGATTGATTCCACGTATTCGTCCTGCTCTCTGTCCAACTTGGTACCCTTAAGTAGTTCCGACAAACCGATAACGCCGTTCATCGGTGTGCGTAGATCGTGAGATATGTTAGCCAAGAATATGGACTTGGCCTTCGCTGCATCTTCTTTCAGCTTCACGTTGTGCTTTGCTTCAGCCTCGGCTACTTTAGCCTTCTGCTCCGCCTCGCGAGCCTGGGCAAGTGCGCGCTTCTGAGCCTCCACCATGGAAGCATTGGTAGCGCTAACCTTGCGCACTTCCCGGAAGAGCAACGCATTGGAAAGCGAGATACCAATCTGGTTGCAGAGCAAGTGGAGGACCACAACATTGCGCTGGGTGAATGAATTCGGTTTGCCTTCAATATGGATGACACCGAGCAGATGCTCGGCCTGCATGATAGGCAATGCGATCACGGACCGCCCAAGGGGATACCTGGCTTGGTATCCCTCATTGACGTTCGAAAAACGCTCATCCTCCAGGACGTTGTGAACGAGAACTTCCTCCCTAGTGCGCATGACATAGTGAGAGATCTGATGCGCCATCTTATCCTCGATTTCGGAAAACGGAAGGCCGTCTACGAAAGACTTCTGTCCTTTCTCCAAGTCCCCAGCCGCAGCGACCGTGAAGTTGTTATCGAAATTGGTCGCAATGACCGCAGAGTCTGAGCCATTGCAGGACTCCAAAACAATCTCAATCATCTTCGTCAGAAGTTTGTCGATCTGAAGCTCCGAAGACATCACTTGGCTAGATTCGAGGATGCTTGACAAATCAATAATATCTGCTTCATATTAGCACGGCTCGCAAGTGTCAAGAAGTTTAGCTTACCAAGACCGACGCCAGATATGTCGAAAGAACGCTCACCGGTAGTAACACCATTCTGTTCTATCCAGCGTTGTTTTCTGTCATCTTCTTCCATATTCTGTGCTACTCCCATATGTTCTTGGCCGGTATTGCGGTTGATTCCGAGCAGCGAGTCCACGGTTTGACAGCCAGCGTCAACATTCCTCGAAGATGTGGCGGTTTTCAAGAGCCATTCATGCTTCTCGGTCAGCTGCGCCGCCTTGCCCACGGCGCTTATCGCGGCCCATGCGGCAATTGCATCTTGCATGACAGAACGCGCCGCCCTTTTGGCACCGCGACGGATCAAGAACTCTCCTATTCGAAAGTTAATTTGGGCCAAGACGTGGGGGTAACCCCTCCCCCAAAAAGTACTGCGATTTGGGACGTCGGTGTACATACCATGCAGTTCTAGAGCAAGCGCTTCTTCCAAGGGCCACCCGTGAATCTGACAATGATCGATTGCAGCCTGGCCTGATTAGCTTCTCTTTCAATCCATCCCGGGCAGTCCTGCAACTTACTTCGAAGGATTGAATCGCGGAAGTATGGTCATTCCGGACTTCGCATATCAGTGCCTCCAATATTAAGGACCACATTCCATAATTGGCATCGCAAGCACTGCGCGCAAAATCCACTTCGGCTTTATACTTCAAGACCGTATGCAGGCTTCCGTCAAGATACCCGCGAGCAGGGTACTCGTTGTGAAGAGTCAGAAGAGAAAGGGCGAGATAGAAATAGACCACGTATGAAACACGAGCAGACCACAGTCTGGGCATAGTCTCCATCATCTGCATGCCCAGCTGTATAGCCTTGGTATGATGTCCATATGCAAAAAGCGGAATCATTGCAAGGCCCCAGTAAATGTCCCGCGGCCGGTCGGCGTTACTGGCATTGTTGTCCAGGAAAGCGATGTACTCATTCGTGTGATGGTGCTCATCGGACATGATAGTATCAGGAGAGCGACATGCCGTTTTACCTTGCAGAGCACGCGCAACTTGTCTATAGGCAAGGCTGTTAGCAGGTGACATATTCT